AAAAAATGCTATTAGGTTCTTGTCATATTTGTGGTGCAATGTATCGCAGATGTGGTTTGTAAATCAGGTTTTGCTGCATATATTAGCCCATCTTATATTTTATCACTTTACAAAGCAAGTTTTATTTGTGTTTGAATTCAATGTTGGTAACATTGACAATATTTTCTGGGTGACCTTTAAGAGTACTATATTAATGCTCTAATCCTACTCAGCAATGTGCTGAGGGTTTCAGTTAGTTATATTTAAAAAATGTAGCAGTAAAAATATTAGTGTTTTATCAGATCCTCTGTCACATTAATGGGCAAATTTTATTTACAAACACTAGTCTCTGTTACCCTTGATCAAATTTGAGACTGCACCTAAAGGACATAAATTTGTGATTTCGTTGGAATGGAAGGAGAGAGGCGAGTGGAGACCTTGTTAAGAGATCTTAAGAACTTGAAACTCAAGGAGGATTGGATCAGGAAATGATATTAAAGCTTATACTATATACTTCCTTAGCAAGTTGGCAGCCTGTGCATAAGAGCCTAAAAGTTCACAGGCTGCCCAAACACATACTGACAAACATGTTTTTGGTTTCTCTCTTATTATGATGCATAGACATATCATCATATTATTTTGTTCCCTGGTAAAACCAACAAATTTATGACTCATCTGACACAGCTCTGCTGGATAGCCTTTCACACTCCATCAGTAATAAAGCCTATTATAATATATTATAAGTCTAGAAAAAGGCTTTTGGTTATAACAAACAGTGAGTGAAATACTTCCTTTGGCACTCATGCACAACATTGCTTTACAGATAATGCTCGAAATAAAAAGAACAAATGAGAAATATTTCATCAATGACATGCTATTTTCTTGAATGATTCAGCATATTGTTTACATTCAAATACAATTTAGTCGAAAACAATTTAATGCTGTTTATTGCAAATGTCGAAAGCTTGTAAAAATACTAAAAATATTCAATTAAAGTATCATCATAGTGGAATACATCACGCAATAATATGTTATATAATATTCAATCATGTTACATCATTCTTGACTAGCTACTTGTAAAAAGGAATTGTGGTCACGAATTTTATGTGCATGACTTAATTTGCTAAAAAAAGAATATGATCAATAAATTAACTGCATCATCTGCACTTTAACACACAGTTTTTCTGGAAAGTTGGAGATGTTTTTATTGTTAGACTTCCCTACTGTCTCTACTTAATTTATCCCATTTCTCTGTCACAGCTGTTCTTCAAGAACTCCAACAGGATGGAGTATTGGATTGGTGAAAAGGCCATAAAGCAATTATATAGGATAAGTGTAAATTGGTTATTTTTTATTATTTTCAATATAATTATTATTTAAAAAACCGTTTACTATCAAATTACAGCTGACTGCACTAATTACACAAACCAAAACATTGATTTGCATACAAATTATTGCTAACAGTTTATGCCTGTCATTAAGATATTGAACTTGATTTGTAGCTATATAGTGCAATTAAAAACCTAGTCATTTTTCAAAAAAAATATCCTATAATTTCCATAAAATCTTTTACTCAGCTTAGGTAATTGTTATTCTTACTATTGACCATTTGCGTCAATTTCTTCACAACAGAGTTTCTTTGTAATACTCGAAAACAAACTGTGCTTACTAAAAGCTTTTTGTTTTCAAGCTACTCATCTGTAACTTGTTTTTCTCGACTTTAATTATTCTATTTTCAGCAGCGACCAAAATTTAAATTTTAAAACAGTAAAAAAACCTTAAGAAAGTGAAATCTAAGAGACTATTTTTAAAAAGGCTTTGTCCACATGAAAATGGAAAGCTAAGATCAAAATAACAAAATTATATAAGAATCGCTATTTTATAATAATTATTATTATAGCTATTTAATATTATAAATCTGTACGAATGTTCAGTGTTTGGAGGGTAATTTTAAAGTACTGCAAATTAATTTAATAAGTGTGTTCACGTCTTGAAACTATCATAGTTGCTTTCCTAAAAAGCAACAGTTTGGACAGAAATTGATTGATTGGTATATATACACCACTATTTGTGCTTTTCAGGTGGCTAAGAAGTGTATTAATCTTTAACGACCAATTTTAGAAGTACAATATAATATTTTTTTAACAGTACTTAGTTAAATCATGCTCCCCAAAACTTTTGACTCCCATTGAGCTAGGCCAGTTGATAAGACTAAATTTATAAACGAAGTGAAGCAGTTCTATATCTTGCATTAAAAAACACTGAAGTGAATCACTAATGACTACATAGCTATAACTATAAGGTCCAGTAAACAAACAACTCAGAAGTGTAGAGCAGAAAGTCACGTAGCACTGATAACATCATTTAATTGCTGAAAACAAACTACTTCAATTCTTTTGTTCTCAATCTTATCATTAATGATCCGTGTCTTTTTTTCCGATGGATTTAACAGTTACACTGCTTTAGCTTTATGACTGCTTATAAAGTTTAACTAATAATGAAGTTTAGTAACAGAGGGGTTATTTGAAGAGATTAAACAAGTTTGTTGGTAAACAAGTAAGATCCAAATAGTTGGATATCGTGTTGGCGGTGACCACAAATCCATTTACATCACAATTGTGTATACATCGGCAGCTGAAGGTAATGTTGCAAAAGGGTGTGACATAATTGCAATTATTAGTCAACAGTTGAGAGGGGAAATAATAATGGAAGTGGGGGTTATGGGTGTAAGAACTTCAAAGCAAACCGATGTTGTTGAGCTTGATCACTGACCCTATTCTCCTCGAGGATAAGGGAGGATGCAAGAAGTTTAAAATATATATACAAGCTGCTATAAATAAACTTTGTGGGAAAAAGCTTTTTTTAGGTAAAAAATGAAATTACCAAACTTCAGCAGGTGAAAAAAGTATAAGATAGATGGTGTCCTGATTTACATTGTTTATTTAAATAGACCTGACGTCGCTGGCTACCATATAACTGTTCTGCACAGAAGGCTTTATGTTTTTGGTTTTTGTCTTTCCAGTGAAAAAGTCCTTTTATGCTAGACAACTGAAACTATGCAAGGGAAAATAGAACCATATTTCTCACCCAAAGGGAAATGGGTGTATTGGTGGCTAAACAGCCTTATGGTGTAAAAACCACAAAATTTAATCCATGCATGGATTAAAGTGTTTTCGGACACTTAAAAATACAACTTGATGGTATTCATTAACATACACAGAAACAAACGAAACTAAAATTTGGACCAACTAAAGGAAAAAATTTAGCCACAATATTTGCAAATCTCAGGTTATTAGTAGAGTCTATTTCGTGCAAATATGTATTATTTGTCTGGTAATTAAATATAGTCTTCTAATGCACATTCTCAAGACAAGGATCAGCCATTGCAATGTGGAGACACATTTTGGTATTCTCCCAAACAGTAACCAAACTCTTAGTTAGTGTAGAGAATCCTTACAATAATAAAAATAATTCTGTTATTTACCCTTGACAGTACTTTTAGCACTTATGCTTGTGGGACTAAGCAAATACATGAAACAAATAATGTAAATAAAACATAATAGGGTTAAGAATCTCAGCTGGTAGGGGGTAAACAAGTTGGCTATTTACAAGTGTGGCTGAAGATTTGAACTCAGAACTACCGTGAACAAATTCAGCTAGCCGTCAGAATGAGACTTGAACTCAAGGCCTCTGAATTAGAAGTCCAGCGCTCTAACCACTCGGCCAAGCTTCCTCCTTTGATTATAGCCTGACAAAGGCTGTGATTAAGAGCAACTGTCTGGGTAATGAACATGGCGCATTGGCCTAACAATCAAGGATCTGACTTGCTGATATATATACACTTTAAAACATTGCACCAAAAAAATTTGGCATGTTCTCAGATTAATGCTTACTTATAACTTTCAGAAAAGCAAGGGCTTATAGTAAAAATAAATGCCTTTTTATTAAAATAATTTAGTCCTTATTTTGGTAATTTAATTAATTTTTAAAATTCATGTTCTTAATGTCACTGACCAATATGCATCCATGTGTTATTTATACAGTAGCCTCTTCCTGCAAAGAGAGAAAAAAAGGCTTCTGGATATTATCCTCAAACATATTCATTGAATGCTTGAACAGTCAAAACTCTATTAACCCTGTAAGCCCCGATAGTGACCAACATCCAATTTCTCCCAACAATGACACTGCCTGATCAAACATACAGATCATAAAAAGAAATGAAATGATCACCAAAGATGATTCAGAAATGTATAGAAGTTTGAGCAAATTCTGGATCAATTTAGGTTTCTGGGAAACTGCCCAAGTGTTAATGTTAGCTTAGGGGAGGGGTAGGTACTTCTCACTTAGGGCAAAATGTTGGCTTAGGGGAGGGGTAGGTGGTCAGTTTTCCAGACTGTCCCCTAAATTGATCCCAAATTCTCTCGAGCAGTAACATAAGAAATGTATGAAGAACAGTGTGGAGAATATGGATGTTGATACTGGGGCTTTCACCCTTTAAGCCTCAATATCCACAAACAAATTCTCCAAACTGATCTCTATACATTTCCTTACAGAATTAGTTGGGAGAAATTGATTAAAGATCTGAGATTTTTCTCTTTGTGATCATTTGATTAATTCTCATAGATGTTGCACTTGACAATCTATGGATATTGTGAGGAGAAAATTGATGTTGGTCACTATTGGGACTTAAAGGGTTAAAGGGGTTTACCTCTCCACAACAGTCACCTTGCAAATTGCCCCAGTGGTGAGTCCAGCTTCTTGAAAATTAGTTTAAAAGTGGGTTTTTAATTTATTGTACTAAGAATATCACATCTATGGTCTAAGAAAAATTGAAGGAACCCATTGTTCAGAACTTGTGAAATCCAGGGTGACCAACATATCGTTCCTATGAAAAAATTACAATTTCCTTATTGCCCGCGACCAAGTTATGTTTTACAGGCCACCAGGCAATGGTTAAGCACAGCCTTGAATGTTAACTTACTTTGTGGGAAGAAGCCAACACGTCCAGTGACACAAGCCATCTATCTATACTCATCGCCACAATCACCTGTTGTTTCAAACAAATCCTCTCCTTTACGAAGGGTTTGTTCTAGTTTCTCCACATCACTTGTGGTAAGTTTGAGATCAAGAATTTTCATATTACTTTCAATATGCTCCGCTTCAGGTACTCCAAATCTGCACCCAATAATTATTCCAGCGACTTCCGGTTTATCTAAAATATAGCGACAAGCTACATTGGCTACAGTGCTGTTGTGAGCCAATGCAATGTCAGACAAGTTAGACAGAAGGTCTTGAAATAGTTCCCAGCTACCCCAGGCATCAATCATTTGCTTATACTTTGCAAGAGATGCTGTCTGCAGTTCAGATCTCATGATTGGCTCTTTTGCGTTGAGATATCTTTCAGATATTAGCCCTCCGCCCAATGTGCCATATGCTAAGAGCTTTATTCCATGCTGGCGACATAGTTTGACCATCTTTGACTCTGGCCGTTGATCAATGATTGAGTACTGCACTTGATTTGTAGATATGGGAATTTCCCTTTTGACAATTTCCTGTAGATGTCTTGTGTTAAAGTTTGTTAGTGAGAGCTCTCCAATTAATCCCTCCATCCTCAGTTCATTTAAATAACAAAGTGCATCGATGTAACGACTGTCTGAGTAATCCCACCAATGAAATTGCAGCATGTCCAGCTTTTCGACACCCATCCTTTTCATTGCAAGACGCACATGTCCTTTGGTGATTTCTCTTGACAGGGGTTTGCCTTGCTGTGGAACCCATTTAGTTAATGCTGAAATCAAGAGTGACAAGTAAAGTTTTCTCACTGAAAAATTAACCCATGGCACTAAATTCTAGCAGGCCAAAAAATGCAAATCGGTCACGCAAGGAACTTCACAAGTGAGACTGCTACCATTAGGAGTTGTGTTCACGGGAAAAGTAGGTACATCCAGAAACACCTAGCCTTCCTTACCCCAAATCCTTCCTCTCCATCTCAGACAAATATGATGAATCAGAGAGGTGAACCTCATTCCCCTTACTAATCAGAATTTAGATTCCTCCATGATTTCACTAAAGGCATTTACTCGCAAATTTTTGCAGCTTGTGTTGGTTGCAGGTGAAGCTTTCGACTTTACAGGAGGGAAGGGTAATACTAACAACAACAACAATAATAATAATAATAATAATAATAATAAAAACAGTGAAGGAGAGGACCCTATTTTACATCTTGAAAGAATGAGCAGAGATTTAATAGAACTTTCTAAGGGGTAACCACTCTAATAATTTGCTTTTAGGAAAATCCTCCGTAGTTAATCTATTTCGTTTTGGACCAATCCACAATCAGAGGCGAAGGGAGCCCAAAGAAATTATCACCTTCTGTATATGTATTATACTTATACAGAAGGTGATAATTCGTCATAAACTATTGTAAACTACCCGAGCGCTATTTTTCTACCACTTTGGATCATTTTTGTAATCAACTAACCCTGAACTTTCCTTCCCACTTCTTCACCCCGTTCAGTCTTTAAATCATCTAAAAACTCGCCGAAGATATCCTCTGCTGGTCCGTAGATGTCCGCCATATCGAAAGTTGTCAATCCTGCGTCAAAGTAGTCCACCATTGCACGCGAAGCCTTGTTCGCGTTGATTGGACCGTGTTGTCCCGAAACCTGCCACATCCCATTCAAAATCCGGCGGATTTCTAAGCCATTTTTAAGGCGAAAAAATGGAACTCGGCCCATTCTTTTGGTTCCGCTAAAAACTGTAAACGTGAAGAGAATCACACGTCTTGCTAAACAAAATGGAGTCGTAAATTTAGAGCCAGTCTCCTAACCTTGTCCCGAACCCGACGTCCGCCTGGGTCCAGATCACGCAAAAACCATTTCTTGTCACGCAATAATTCTCTCCCAAAAAACTATTCTCACCCCCTCGCTTGTTGAATTTAGTCGAAGTTAATTGATGTTGAATATCGCTTACTTTTGTACTAACTCCTCTTATTAAACATAATAAAGGTATTTTAGATTTCGGATAATTCCAGTATTTTTTTTTGATGCTCACCGGAAATGGCTTTGACCGGAAGTACAATTTGTTGGGGAACACGTCGACCTGGTTGCTAGGAGACTGCTGGACGCCTGGAAAACTGTAAAATTATTTACTCGAAGTTCTCGTTCAGCAGCAGTTGTCTAGTAGCTACAAGTTACTAAGTGAACTTGGACGAGATATCCACAAGTGTTTGAGATAAAAGAGAGAAAGTTTGAATCTCCAGTTAAACATTTTGAAACTTTTTAAAAGAAGCGTGTTCCAGACCCAGACAGACCACAATTACGAGCAAGAAATGTTAACGAACGCTGGAAGATTCATTGACAGAAATCCTGGAATTCTTCCAGTAAGTCTACCTTCTTTTAGGCCTTCTATCACTATTTTTTGTGTGTAACGTTTTTCTGAAAATAAGTTTAAGCAATTTGCTGGAAGACACAACCTTAGTTTTAATAAAAGTGGTGACTCCATCAAACTTTGTTCGCATGTTGATTCCTACCGGATTTTTATGCTTAGATATATATATCGAGCACTCTGTTCTTTTACAGGCAGGAAAGCTATTTGATGTTAGTGGACAAACGGCCGGAGATTGCTTACAGATAGCACAAAGGGTAAGAGACTTGATTTGACTTGAGATTTATACTTGTAAATCAAATCTTTCTTTCAAAGACATCAAGATAGCTTCAGGATGTTGACAAAAAGGAACCGGCAAACCTAATCTATCGATCAAAGACAACCTTTTTGTTTGAGGTTGATAAAGAAACACCTTTGCTCATTTTTTAACTTCTTTTTAGCCCTTAAGACCAGAGGCAGTGAGAAAGTTTAGAGGGACAACTCAACCCGAAGCAGGAAAAGAAAGAGTGTTTTATGGAAGAGCAAATGACCCAAATATTGCTTCACATATCAACCATGGAGTCAGCACAAGAACCTCGCTTGTGGTATGTAATATAATTTATTTTATTTATGATTTCGTGCGATCGTAAACTTTCTTTTGATTTCTTCAGACGCTAGTTTTTATTGCAGCGAAATTATCACCGGAAAACTAACGGCCTATTGCATTGATATTGTATGTATAGCATGTTTTGGTTACAGTTCATATTTATGTGCAAATTAACATCTGTTCTGATATGATGTATTTAGAGAGAGAACGATTCTAAGAGAACAATCTTTCACAATTATCCCTTTAGTCTAATAGTACAGAGTACACGGGGAAAGCGTAGATTAATTTAGGCTCTAATTTCTGATTTCGTTTATAATAGTAACTTGCAATATTTATTTTTTCAACAATAAATCAAATAGAGGAATTCCCAATTGAAAGTTAATTTTTCTAACAAAAAAAATTAAAGTTTTCTTTCAGAACCAATCTAAAAAACTCCTTCAAAAAGCTGAATTCACTGTCATGTAAATTTTTCAGTTTAAAGCTAAAATATGAATCCTATTAATTTTTTTCCTCTACAGGCTGGGGATCTTGTTAATCCAACAAGGAAAAGCCTTTTTTCTCAAAGGATGCTAGACAAAAAAGAAAGTCTTTATGCCAGCAGGAAGAATGCACCTCTAGGTAATGCAATTAAGTCCATTTTGTCTAAGTTATAATATTAATTTTGCTAGCATACTAGCAACCCCCCCAACTGTTAAAGGCCCTACCCTCCCCTTTTAAAAGGGGAAACAGAGCTACTAAGTCCCCCCCCCCTCCACAATGGTTAAACCATGCTGCAAAATCACAAAACCCATTATTTTGATATTGTCTCGGGTAGATTAGATTGAAAGATTGTAAAGTTATGATAATTAATTCTTGCCCAATTTACCGTTACATGTAGGTCGCTGTCATGATCAGAGTCCTGGATTACCAAAGGGTGTTGGACCAACTGATGTCATGTATGGAGTTAAAACAATCAAAGGTAACATAAGCTGTATTTACATCTGAAACATTTAAGAGTGACATTTGTTTTAAGTCAGTCCCTCTGGAATCCACCAGCCGGTTAGCTCAGTTGGATAGGCCCTGGTCTGCCGAGCAGGGGGCGGCTGGTTCAAACCCTGACCGGACCAACACTCAGGGTCTTAAAATGATGGAGCAGAAAGTGCTGCATTTGTAATGGCATCTGTAAATGATTAGACTTTTTAGTCTTGTCAGATAACGACGATAAATCGTAGACCTGGTCTCAAAAGCCCACATATACACATGTATAAATTCTGTGGGATGCTAAAGAACCCACACACTGTTCGTACAAAGTAGGGGCATAGTCCCTGGTGGTATGGTCTATCTTTCATGCAGGGAGGGACTATTACGGGCCCACTGTAATAAAGGCGTCAAATGCTGTTGCAGTGACCAGTGCCTGCCAAAATTGCTAAACCTAAGTAACTCCTTAATTATAAAACTATCCAAAAAACCGTGCTAAGCTTAATTCAAACCAATATTATTTTGGAAATATTATTTGCAGATGGAAGTGCTGGTGAGATGGTGAACCCTGCTAAGACCGCAGCTCAAGTAAATGCAGAGTCCATGGAAGGAAAAGATCTTTACAAATTCAGTCACAGTGATTATGAAGTTGGTAAGTCAAAAATTATAATATTATTGTATAAAATTATAAAAATTAAAATTATAATATTATTATATAAAATTTTGTCAGACCAAAGTGAATAAGTTGATTATTAACTAATTCTCAGTTTCCAAATCCTACAATAAGAATTTTGAAATGAAGCCTTTTAAGCAGAGATCAAGTTTAAGTAGAACCTTGGTTTGCAGACACCTCTAAAATATAGAGACCTGGCTGCCATGATGATATTTCTTATATAGACACGAGTGTTTTACTGGAAAATATACCACTTGTAAAATTCATAAAAAATTAGTGGTTTATTTTCCACAGGCTCACACCTGAGTTTAAGACAGGTATTTCGATAATATCCCCAAAATTTGTAGGGTCCTTTGAATTTTAATTACACATTTTTCAAAGGCCCCTTATATTTTGTCACTAGACCCTGTTTAAGACAGAATTGTAAACAATTTTTGATACTGTACTGTAAATTTGAGACATTTATCCTACTTTTTAAGAATAAAAAAATTATTTAAATCGTCTTTTTGTCTTCCCTGAAAAAAAGAACAAAAATGATAAATTTGATACCCTGTTTAAGACAAAACAATATTTTAAAAAAAAATACCCTGGCTAGCCACTGTGTAATATCCTCTATGTATCCCCATTAAGCCCTTGATTTCCAAAACTAGCTGTATAGGCTCTTAGCCAATGAGAAGATGGATAGTGAGTACAATGTATAATAATAAGGAGTATTGCTGCTCGTAATTTTTTTTTTAACCCTACAGCTGTTTGTAGTTATCTGGTTACCAATAAAGCTAAACAATATCCTTGCATTTCGTAGGTGAAATGGTTGACAGAAAGTACGACTGGAGTAGAATCCCGAAGGACAGCAAATTTGGTGTAGAAACACCACACAACAATGATGGCATTCACGTCAGAAAAACACTCAAGTGGCTGCATGAAACACAACAGTAAGTTTGGATAATTGCAATAATTTATGTTAATTGACCACTATTATGCAGTTGCTGACTAAACTTGGATTCAGGATTGTTTATTAACATATGATGTTGTTTTGAGAGGAGAAGTGCGATGTCAGTTTACCATGGTGGCAAGATTTCTGGATCTAAACCATCTTTCTTGACAGAGATGACCATTTGCTTTGTCGAATGATCGATGAGCTACCATTTTGCTCCTGAGTGCAATCATGCACAGGAAAGTCATACAGTCTAACCTCTCCTTTAGCCTGATTCTCAGACGTCCAAGGTCGTTCGCGGTCCCTTTCACTTCCCTCGAGGGAGGAAGCGAAAGGGACCGCGAACGACCTCGGACGTCTGAGAATCAGGCTAACCTCTCCTTATGCACACCTCCCTATTACAGACACTTCATTTGGTCCCAGAAATGCCAAAAATCATACATCCCCAGACACTTGGTTCTGCCCCTTTGGTGTCCATATTAAAGAGGTTTGACTGTACATGTCAATTTTTTTTTCATTTTTTTCTGCCATATTAATTTTGCAGGACCATGGTTTTTTGAGATCCAAAAATTTTGCTACCATGGCAACGTGACATAGTGACTTCCCCTCTCCACTCTGTTCAACGAAAGACCTTAATCTAGACTAAAACGATTGCCAAGTTTAAATGAGGGAATATAAAATATTAAATTATACCATCTATAAATCTCTTGAAGCATCTCACTTATCAAACCTCTCGCTGAATAAGTGGATGTGATTTAATTACAACAGGGAAAAGGCAACAAAAATTGTCTCCAAACGTGTTGACGACTTCCGTGAAAGAACCCAGCCTCAGCTCGGCAAAGTGCATGACCCAATCAAGGACACATTGAGAGTTCCTCCTGATTACACATTTGGAGTTATGGTTAAACCTGATGAATATGGAGCTGGAGATTTGATCCACATGAGGGTCCCAAGCAACTACTTGAGAGGACAGGACAGAGAAAGGGGTGTGCTAGCAGCAGTTCGACAACATCTGAAGAAGGCAAACTACCACAACTTTCATGACCTGAGGGCAGCATTTGAATATTATGACAAGGTACTATAACACTTGGTGAAGGAATGCTTACTGTTACTGTAATACAGACATCTAAGTGCAATGTTACTGAGTTAAAATCATGAAAAATGATTTTAAAATTTGTCAGTAATAAATCAAATTAAACCTCGCCCTATGACACAAATTGGGTATCCATTAGCACAAGAATATTTTTTCAAATAATATTTTAGGCTACATTGAGTCTACTTGTAAGAGAGAAAGACATCATAAATATTATTATATTAAATAATAAGTTTAAGCAGCTGAAAATTGGTCACTGCAACTTATGTATTTTTCCCCTCATATAGGATAAATCTGGTAAAATTTCACTTACTGAGTTGCGTGAAGTATGCATGCAGTTCAACCTTCCTGTAGAACCAGAGCTGTTGGAATCTTTGTTCTCTTACTGTGATGTTGACGGAGATGGCCAAATAAATTATGAAGAATTTGCTAACTTCCTGAACTGGAAAGATAAGATGCCATCAGGTGAAATGCAAAGCACACTGAAGGAAGAAACATCTGAAGAAGAAGTAAAGGTTAGAGTGACCAGGATTTAGTTTCTCCTTACTTTATCACTGGTTAATTAAACATTAAGATTATGAGAATTAAGGAATGATCACAAGAGATGAACTTATATATATAATTACTTGATTGTATATGTCAAACTCTCCGAAGGGCCATGACAAATTTATGGAAACCAGTGTCAAGAAAATGCTTTTTGATTTGAGGATGAAATAATGTTATTATTGTCAGTTAGAGTAAATGGTAAAGATTGCTATAATTTCAGTGAAGTGAACCATGCAAGATCTTATTAGAGACGTTTAGATTCAAGGACAAGGAGAACTATGAGGATGATATTTGACTTTAATTTTTTGTGTGTGTTCTAAAAAAATAGACACCCTGGAAAGCTTCATTTTCCCTCTTTACACCAGAAAAGTTTTTTTTAAGGAGGTTAAGCGTACCCCAACTCCTGATCCCCAAATGACAAAACGTCTAACATTTGATAACTTGTTTCTGTCGCTATGACATTTTCACTAAAATCCCATGGTAGAATGGTGAAGGCTATCGCATCTTCCCGCAAAAATGACACTGGTTCGCACACACTACTAACACTGTAGTAATTAAAAAAGTTTTGTCCTTGTAGCTGTCGTCTTAGAATCTAAAGGTCTCTAATAACTGTGGCAATATGATCATTCAGATTCTCACATCTGTTTCAACCTTCGCCGACAGGAAGAGGGACAAACGTCAGGTGAGAAATCACCTGAAAGACTTCAAAAACAGATTGACAAAGCTGTGGGTGGCTGGAAGACATCATCATCTCAGTTTAATGCCGTTGCAGGAAAAATCAGAACAAGTGGTGAGTAACTGGAACACAAAGTCTACGCAAGGTAGCTCAGGGGAGGGTATTGCATTAGCCTGTGGCATGCTCTCTGGGGTGCTCTGGCGGCAGAGCGGGAAAAGGAAGGAGAGCTTGCAACTATATCTCTGGAATTTGAATATCTGCATCGAAAAAGTCATTGAAAAATGCTGATTGGTGGAGGTGACATTAGTAATGATGTCATTACCCTTGGTGTGTGTTTTTCAATGTTTGTTTACACTCCCGCTCGTTTCTGCTTTGTGCTGATTGGCGGAAATTTGACAGCTTAGTTGACGAGGAGCCACAGGGGAATGAGAGGTGGGATTTAAATTCTAGAGAAGTAGTTGCAATAGCTCTCCTTGCTTTTCCTGCCCCGCCGCCAGAGTGCACTGGAGAGCTTACTCACAGGATAGTCTTGCATAAAAAGGCATTTTGCAACACTGACAATACTGTTTCACGATAGGATGGCGAGCCTATGGAGTACCAACAATACGATCTGATTTGCCCGCACCAATAACAAGACGTGTGGCAGATACAACCGTAAGTGAAGATTATGGATAACATAACACTTAATTAATGTTTCAATTTCTTTTGTGGCACTAAAACTTGTAGACAAAATAAAACACTTTTGCACATATGTAACCCCAACAAGCATGTCTGTTTAAATAAATACTAATATTAGGTGATTCACTCATTTCCTTACATTTAATTTGTATTAGGGCAATGCATCTTACTTTCACACTGCTAATTTTTTTTAATTACTGATTTTTTTTTGCCACCAGCTGTCAAATATAACTACCATCATAGTAAAATTAAGGAGGGTTTTCAACCTGATTTAAGAAGTCTATTTTTTTATTCTGAGCATGCGATAGACACTTAACTAAACACCACCACATCTACATGTTTTCCCTAGTTTCAAATTTGTATTTCACAATGCTTTTTTCTTTCAGAACTATGGTGATGAATCAGATGCTTATGGCCTGATCAACCCATCAATCTATAGCAATCTTGGAGTTTATGAGAAAGATTTCTTTCAACCCAGAGACCAATATGAGGTAATTAAGGCATCATTTAAATGAATAAGCTGAACAATGTTGTTTATTACCAAGGGTGCATTTGATTGATCATATTCCAGAATAAGAAATACACAAAAGTTTTAAAGCAAATCTCTTTTTCTGTGATTTTTGGACCACTTAAACACTAGAAACACCAGGTTTTTTATTATTAATTCAAGCAGATTTCCACATATAATGAAGATATTAAAAGTAAAAAGGTAAAGGTGCACGAGCCAAAGGCCCAAATGGTCTTAGCTTATCCTGGTTTCCCTGGCATGAAGCCCGGGGGGGTACTCCCATACATTACCTATATGGGTATGTGCCGCCCAACGGGGTAGTGATTTTGAAGCTCCTGGTTTAGAACAGGGTATCCATTTCAGAGGCGTTTTCTAGAACGGGGTATAACATTTCGAACGCACGAAAGCTCCAGTTTTGTAAGCAGCCATTTGAAATTATTTAAGGACAGATTGCTTTTAAAAATACGGTTCAGTGCGTTAACAAGCAAACTGTTATATTCTTGTTGCACCCTAGAACGGAGTATAAAAATTTGGCCCAGTTCTAGAACAGGGTATCAGTTTTAGGGCGAATTCTAGAACGGGGTATCAATTTTAGGGGAAATTTGTTTTAGAACGGGGCGCCAATTTGGAGTCCCGGGCGGCACATACCCACCCAAAAAATACCCAAGTGCCCCCCACGGGGCACGAAGCATCCCTAGGAGTAATGCTAAAGGGTCCTGGACAGGATGCTAGTCCATCACAGGGTTACCCCCCAGGCAGTATGTCCCCAGTACCCATTTATACCCCTAGATGAAGAGAGACAAAGTGGAGTAAAGCTCCTTGTCTAAAGAAATGTTCAACACGACAGGCAAGGCTTGAACCACAACCTCCAGATCTGGAGTTTGAGGTGTAAACCGCTCTGCCATATACACCTCTACACAATGCAATTCATATATTGCAATGCACTAAAAGCCAAAATAAACGATTTGTAGTCAAGGTTTTAGTCCATTTATTCTTGTTTCGGAATATGGTCTATCGAACACCCCCAAATAGTTGGATAGCAGAGTTTTAAGAGCTGGAATTAATTATGAAAATTGTTTGGCAGATCCGAAGAATCTTTGATGGAATTGGAGTTGAAATGACCACTGATGTATTTGAAAAGATTTGGGAGCAAGCAAGTTCAAGACACCCTGCTGGACTGGTAAAGACTAAACAAATTTTTATACCTGTATGTTTCACTTGCAACAAAAACCTTTGGAATTCATATCATAACCTGTGATCCTTGTCTGTCACTTTTTTATAAGGTATATAAAATACTGCTTGCCTTTGGCTCAAGACCATAGAGCCTGATATAACCATTATTCCTTTTCTATTTTTCTTCACAGGTTAGTGTAGAATCTTTCAGAGGCATAATGGATGAAGTCAATGCCCAGAAATTTGCTGAGAGCCAGCCAGTATGAGATGGAAAATCTTTCTGTTTTGCAAAAGTCAAACAAGATATTCATCACCTTTAACTAGACTTTAATCCACTTGATTTGCTTCGACTTACAAGGAAAAGTAACTTATTTTTATAGTTCGTTCCTAAACAGCTTTCTTGGGACTTTCCTAACTAGCTGAATTATTTGACACTGTTAAATTTAAAATTAATGGTTTCAGAGAAAATTAAAAGTAGAAAAAGTAACATGACTGAAGCATTATTATTATTATAAGAAAAAATGTTCATGAAATATTTTCACGTTGTTCCAGCACTTTACTGCGACAAAATTTTATGTACTATAATCTTTGTTTAATAAACAAGCTCCTTGTATAAATTGTAAGAGATATAATTATCTTAGATTGTTACACCTTTCAAAGTGTACTCATGGTTTGGTAAAATGAAATAAATTGAAGGAAAAAACTTTGTTTTGTCTTTTTGGAAGCCCATATGTCTGTGAATTCATCCTCAGGGAAGGAAAGAAAAAGACCTTGAGTAATAATTTTTGTTTTATTAAGTTCTGTTTCATCTCACAGACTTTAAAGCCAAATATGTTCTTTAACACTCTTTGGGCAGCCAGTGAACCAGGAAGAATGTTTACTTGCAGTTACTTAAATGAAATGCCAAAAAAAAAACTTAGCCAGTACTATGTTTTTACTAAGGGACACCAAAGGTATTATGGTATTGTAATCCTTACATACATGTACCTTCTAGACAACACGGAAGGGCAAGTTTTATATGAATAATATAGACTTTTAAATAAATAACTTGTTGATGGTTAAGAAAAAAAAACATTCTTGATGTTCATCATCTGTTCATTTGCGATATTGACCATCTCAATAAATTTTTAAAAACTTTATACCCTAATCTATTTATTAAGCACATAACCCAGAGATACTAACCTATGGAGATCCAAAATTAAAGCTGGTGATTGTCTCTTGCATTTGTATTTCCTTGGTGTGACCATTTAAACAAAATCTCTTTGGCAGCACTTTTGCATGGTATGATTTGTTTGTCAACATTTTACAAAATGAAAAGTGAACATTTTGTTGACTTTTGACCTTGGTCATTCTTTTTGTAGTTAATGGGGTAACAGGGGTACAGGGTCAAGAGAGTAACTACATTCTTATAATATTACAAGGCAATTAGTATGGCATCATGGCAGTCCTCGAGGCTCTTCGGTTCATAAACAGCAGGTACAAAACTCACAAGTGCAGGTTAGAGTACAAGTCACCGTGAAAATAAACAACACTTAAAACTGTCTCCTAGACCTAACAACAATCCTAAATAAAGTTTTAGCTTAAATTAAGGGGAAAACTGCTTATCTAGCTTATTCATCAAAAGAGCAGTGACCAGCTGTGTTTTGTACCTGCCAATTCATAAAAAGAGTCATTACTTTTATCCTATGTTCAGGTTGTACTGTACAGCACCTACTTTATTTACAACAATACAATCACAGTTTTAGCAGTTATTTAGTGCATAAAACAAACACAGCAACATAAACATCCTCCAGAGAAGTTATGTGTTCAAAATCCCATTTTAAATGCAATTCCTTCCTACTACCCTCCGTCACCTGGTCAAAGCCGAGCGTGAGTAGGAATTCCTTTGCTGGATTGCTTGAATGTGTCCAGGTTCTCTGGAATAGTGGGTCATCAGGCGAGGTAGTCTTTCCATACATTGTATTCTTCAGCTATAAAAATGTGAAAAAATTTTGTGATGTTTATAAATTTCATGTGACCTGTGTGATGCAGATCATGTTAACTACACAGCCCAACACCTACAACAGCGCATTGCTGATTTCATTTTCAGCAATTGGTAAGCAGTTTTTAGAAGCTCACAGTGACAAAACTCTCCTGAATGAGGGTTAATTTTGCATTCTAAAGAAGTGCCACAGAAAATTTGACTGCCTCATCTACCAGATGTTATGCATCAAAGAACTTAGGCCCAGTCAGAGTGACTCCATTACTGCAAAACGTTTTGTTTCACTTGTAACATATTGTTGCTATGCTACTTTTCTTTTTAGTGATCTATTGTTTCTTGTAGTTATTGAATATTCATACTCTTTTTTCTTTTGACTTGATAATGACGTTCAAGGATGTCAAAACTTTATCATGTTATTTAACGTTTCGTTAAAATTGAAATCTTAAAATGTTTTTAAGCAAAATTTTATTGCAATTTTTTTATAGCCAAATGTTTAAAAAAATTGCTTCTTTTTAAAAAAATTATATGGATAAAAATTTAAAAATTGCAGTGAGTGGAGTCCAATTCAGTCTGTAATCATACAAGTGACTAAACAAACAAAAGTATGATTGAGTACTGACTGAGTAAGTACTGGTAAATGTAACAGACGTTATTTAACATACCAGATACAAGAGTGGTTCCTTATGCTGTGAGGTAAGTTCTTTTAATGCTTGACATTGAGGTACTGACAACTCTGTTAGGAAGTCAAACAGATACGAATTTAGCTTTTGGTTTTGGAACCTTTTTACCTACATTTAGGTATAGTGAGGCATGGTGAGGCCAGTTCTGTTATGCTTTTCCTGACCAAACTGGGGTCCAATATCAGTGTTGCCTGAATAAAGACACTATTGGTGGTCACTGCTAAAGGATGTTATGTCGACCCTTGTGGCTCCATCTCACAAGAGACATCAGTAAAACCAGGGAGACGGGCCTACAGATTTTCTTTCTCATCTAAGGAGAAGTTTACCCTGCTGCAGATGTGAAACAAAGCCATCACCTTCTCCATTATTTCAATGCCCTGAGAATTGGTCTGGCTGGGAATCAAACCAGTACCCAACTGTTCTGAATATTTTTGTCCAACAGGGCTGTGCTCTAGCAGAGCCTAGCAGCCCCTGCCTGCTGCCTTTTGCTCTTAGCCAACTAGGAAAACTAATTACCATTTTTCACAAAAATCAATATGTTGGGCACCTTGGATTTCACAGGTTCATAGCAGAGGACTCTCTTCTGTTTTTCTTTGACTACAGCCTTGATGATTCCCTTTTATTTTCAGCTCAGAATTAAATACTACAGACTTATTGAAGAACTGATACAGATTTGTCAGGACTCACCTACAAGAGCCTCAGCCAGTGCAGTACAACAATGTAACATTCCAACTGCACCATCCACAGGGAAAGTAATTCTGCCATCTGCAGTTTCTTCCAGTTTGAATCCTATTGTAGGCAGAAGATCCTTGCAACTTTCATAGCCTTCACCCACACTGTTCTTAAAATCAGCGACATTAAGCACCATGGGCTGTTTTGTCTGAGATGATGACAGTGTTTCCTCTAACTGTTTAATTGAATTTTAATAAAGAGATAATCCTTTAAGAGATAAAATAAATTTACTTTTACAGATTTTTAAGGTAATATACATATACTGTTGCAATCTAAAATCAAATTCAGGTAAAGTTTGCTCATCTCTTTCCTGTTTTTTTTTTCAATATTTTATTATCATAAATCAGAAAAAAAAAGAAATCTGAAATTAAACTCTGCTCCACTAAAATTCCAAATTAACAACTAGCCAGTGTAGGAAGTGTTTCTGCTCAAGTCAATGCATGAACACTGGAACAACTTTTTTGCTCTGGCTCCATTTTTGGCACAAAACTCGCACAGAAACAATTGCTACGCAGGCTAATTAACAACATATACTTTGAAGCACTAATATTACTATTTTCTAGGTCCTTTGCAGTACACAAGTTAATGTTGGTGATGTAATGCACAGTTTCCATTTTTGTTCCATCTATTAACAATAATGTTTATTTACTGACCAAGTCTCTGAGAGGTGTAACAGCGGCTGGGTGTGCAAGTACCTTCCTGTAAAGACCAATGATCTGTGTACACAGAGGGGACTTGAAAAGGTCGTCAAACACTGAGGATAGGGCTTTATCTGAAATAACAAAAAGGCGGCCTGAAAAAAATATTCTACAGGAAGCTGGAAAAAGGCTTAATCTTCTCAATTCAGCCATCTTTGAGTCTGTAAGAGGGACATCTTTCCCACCCAACATATCCCTCCCTTTTTACATGTTTCTAGGTGTTGAAGATTGGGTATGGTTGGTATGGTCTTAATTGGTAATTGTATCAACTGTAATACAAAGAAACTGCTTGTTTTCTGTCTAGGTGATGAGTACCTGGAAGCCTTGTGAGAAGCTCGTGGTTGGCATGACGAAATTGTCTGCCATGGGAACTTTGCCCTGTGAAGTTTTTGGTTGTCCTTTTCTGTAAGCCCCTAGCCCTAGCCCCTAGCCCTCAGTGTAATAGATCATTATACGTTTCTGAGAAACTGCCCACCTACCCCTCCCCTAAGCCAACATTTTGCCCTACGTGAGAAGTAAGTGTTAACATTGTCTTAGGGGAGGGGTAGCTGGGTAGTTTCCCAGAAACGTATTAATGATCCAGTGCAACTGGGTGGTCACTTACAGGAGGTTTGATTGTATTTTTAAAGCGTCCACAAGGTCAGAAATAACAATAACTTACCATTCTGTCCATCAGGTTCATCAAACACATGATAACGCTTTCCACTGCTTTCGACCTGCCCTGCATCTTTTTCGTCAGGTAACACGAGTTCAAATGTACCCATAGCAGAGTCGTAAGTCATTTCATAGCAGGCATACCCCAGAATGGTGTTAGTAGGCAATTCATAAGAGCGATGGTGTGTCGCCTGGACTGCCCCGCCCAGGTAAATGGAGAACGTTGGTTTACCTCCAGTTATATTTGCATCCCCTGAAATGACACAGGTAATAGCAGTTATGGAGAGCATCTTTTGGTGTCATTATACAAGATATTTTTTCAATCAAATTTTTAAATCAATTGTTATATTTCCTTAGAAACTCTTTTGGATGTTAGATAATACTTTCCTAGTTAACCAAATATTAACCAATGATTAGGTACTTCATCCACAGAATAATAGTTGGGGCTTGGGTTGTCCGTGCTTTCCATAACCCATCGAATGATTTTTGTTACCTCTCTAACCTGTGCACTGGTTGACTTGTGCAATCTCGCAGGCCAGATATCTCTAATACTGTAAATAATTATTATTTACAATAACTGTAAATTATTGCAGTATGAGAAATATTTAAAATCAACTTTGGATGGCTATGTTCTTATATTATTATTATTTTGCTTCAAGGGAGAAAACTCTCAGTACCTTCTTTAGTTGAATCTGAGTCAACATCTGCATCACTACCAGTTGTGACCGCTTCGTAAACAACACAAAGACTCCGCCTCGGCTTGTCAATTATATCTTGCACAAACTCGTGTTCCAAATTCAGTGTTTTCCCTACAAGTGCTTGGCTTAGTTCACCCCACCCTACTTCTTTCCTGATAACAGTCCCAACATCCATACTAACTGTAAACTCATCTGTTGCTGATACATCAATTCCAAATTCCAGAGCAATTTTTGCTCCCAGTTTGCCATGAACATGGAATTTTGGTTCGTTCTTGTATTTCTTTACGAAAACTGACTTGTTAACATTGCCGCTGATATCAACTGGCTAAATAAAGAAAATAAGAAAAATATGGGGTTAGCAGAAATTCAGCTGGGTTACCCCAAAACCCTTATAATGGACACTAAAGTCAAAGGGCCAAGAGTGCAAATTACTGGGGGTTGGGTATAGGGGGAAGGGGGTATTCCCATAAATTTCAAATAGGTGTGTTTATCTAGCCCATATATGGAAGTAACCCCCACTCCCCTGGGATCTGATTAGAAGAGGCTTAACACATGGTAAAGAATAAATAATTATTACTCATTCTGACAACACTGTGATTACAACAACAACCACTACCACCAACAAATTTGAATGGTAATTACAATTTTGAGATGATAAGAATTGAGCATAACTACAGCCTATGACAAAAACTGTTGAGACATATTACATCCTATTTTTTCAGTCATCCTGACAAATGCAGACACTGGAAACAGATGATCATCAATTTTCATGAGAATAAAGGGAAATTCAACAGAATACTCAAAATCTTGACTAAACATTGATGGCTCCTCATGTTATAAAATCTTTTGGGCGGGCTGGGTAGGTGGGTATAAAAAAAAGACTTATACCTTCAAAAGTTCATCCTCCCAAAAATAGGAAGTAAAACAGAGAGGTTTTCCTTAAATTAGGTCCTGTATAACGATCGAGTGAAAAAGCGATTCAAAAATCTAGAACGGTTTTTAAAAGTTGTAATACCCCTCTTCGGAGAGACCTACATGGACAACGGCAGCCTTTTTTCCGAAAAGGCGGGTTCAGTACAGTTGATGCTCAATGGATAAAATCTTAAAATGTAAACAAATAAATTACTAAAACATCTAAAGCCTTTCATCTTGCGGCAATATTAATTTTCATTTACGACAGTTTTTACGGATATTCAATGATCATGACATGGAACACGAAATGGCAGCTCACCTTTGTCATGATCTCGTTCAAACTAAACTGAGTGGGCAGGTATTTAGTTTTTTTCCAACACCATCGGCTCCTCTTTTTTACCACGGCGCAAAGGACATCACAGCGAGAAGAAGAATTTAAATCCACGATCGGATGCAGGGTTGACCGCCCTGTATCTTTGACAAACTGTTTCGAACAACACTCGAAAAGCGCCATCTTGGAAATCGTGAATCAAAAGATCAAAGGTGACAGAGGAGGATCATGGGAAGTGTTTTGACGGGGCCGGCGGGCGGGAAAAATAAAAATCCCGTTGGGGTACGCCGACGCCGAGTACCGTACGCGGGGTAGACGGAAGTTGGCCCCTGTTTTGAGTGAAGCCCCCTTTTCCATTGTAAAACATTCAACCTGATTATTTTTCTTTGCGGCCATATGTGTCAGTCAAAAAGACGCACGATCATCCCAACTCCAGGCTTAAAATGTAATAAGCGATGACGAAGCGAGAGGATAGCGATCGTATTAATATAGGAGCTATTATCTTACTTGGATTTTTCATTGGATGAGTCATTTAAATTACTACCATCAATTTTTGCTATAAGAGCGCGATGAAAGACAACCTGTTGTCTTTGATTTATCGCTTTACAGAAATTTCATTGATTTTACTGGATTTAGCCATTAGTTTTCTTTTTTATTCGATCTAATTATTTCTTGTCCATCTGCAAATAGTTACATAATAGCCTTTTCTGAGAGGTACCTATTAAAAATTATTATTATTATTATTATTATTATTATTATTATTATTACTTGCAAGACATCTTAAGTTTTCATGTATTTCATTTGTTCTTTTTTCAACAGTTTTACGTAAATTTCATACATTTCATTGAAAGCGAAACGCTTCGTAGGGAGTTTAAACAGCGCCGTTTTTTGAGCAATGCACGTCAACCGGAAGTGAACCTTTTTCCCCTTTTAAATGCCTTGATGCTACCAAATCTGTATTGCTAAGCGCCTTTACCCTTACAGAGACGATCTGCTCAAAAATTTGTTCAAAATCGTGCCTCAAGAGTGCAAAAAGTTTACCTCCGGTCGACGTGCGTTGCTCAAAATCATCGCTGCTTTAACTCCTGAATATCCCGCTGGGTAACTAACTGTCAGTCAGTTTCGCCTTTAGGTCTTACAGGTACCCCAAGCTCACGAGTGAGAAACGTTGTTGAGTGACAAAAAGAACACACCATAAATAACACGGAGACAGGTAAGAAGTAGACTACGAGTAGTCCCCCATTTTTCCTCAGGGATAGTAGAGCGAGCGAAACGCGAGCGTGCGTGAAAATCACCCCACGCGAGAAAAGGCGATTTTCTCGTGTGGAGATCTTTTTTCGTTGGGTGATTTTCACGCGCGCGTGCGTTTCGCTCGCTCTACTGTCCCTGGGGAAAAATGGGGGGTTACTCGTAGTCTAGGTAAGAAGTTCTGATGTATTTTTGTTACTACAAAACTAACTTGCGTGACAGGAGTTAAAAAGGGAAGGGGGAGGGGGAATCAGGGAGAAATGGGGTACTATTTTCCCCTCCTCGCGCGCTCGAATTGCCCCTGCCCCGCCTTCTAACGCCTGCTATTAAATACGAAGGCTACTATGAAACAAAAGTGGCTTGACGCTTTGCCTCAATTTTTTCGCTGACTGTAGATTTTACAACTTTAGGACGTCACGACATTAGAGCTGGCATTGTGGCCAGCCGACAAAAGAAGAGTTCTGTATTCAGCGATGATAGAGGTTTCCTCTTCCAGTGAGAGATTCAAATAAGCTTCTTCGTCCTCTGTTGCGAGATCTGGCACGAGTTCATTCACGGCTTCTGTTATATCCGGGTCTTCTTCGTCTTCTTCACTGCCGCTTTCGGGTGATTCATCTAAAACAAGAAAAAAAATGTAGATGTAGCCACAGCTGTTCATAATGGACTGTAATTCTAACTTTTCAAACAAAATCAAATCATATGGAGATGAAATCAGATGGTGTGCCCATTCAAATGAAAGCTATTGCTTTCCTGTGGTACTGTTTATTATGCTGTACAAGGCGGTTCTAACTTTTGAGGCTGCGTATGAAACCATATAGTATGACTATTTAAATGAAAGCTAGTGCGCAGTACTTTCCTGTGGTACTGTTAATTATGCTGTACTTCGCTTTTGCGTTAAGTGTTCGCCCTTTCTGCCTCTAGATCGCCAGAGAGCCCGTCCACGGGCTAAAATTTTATGAAAGGAGAATTTCATGGAAAAGAAACAAAAAGAAGGATAGAAAACTAGAAACATTTGATACTTTTCAAGAAAAAACTGTTGCCTTAATGACGGCAATTTTTCTCCTTGACAGTCGAGAACTTCAAAAACGTAAGTACCTGAACACTCTAATTAATTGGCTTATACTATAATTATCTTTTCTTACCTTTTCTAGAATGGGATATCGGAGGAAGCTTTCCACCGTTTGACGCCAACATATTAATAGCCTTGGAAATATCACCTTGGCAATACCTCAGGGCCTCCTTAACAGAATCCACTTCAAACCCCATGGACACAGCCTACGAAAACAAGTTAAACTCGATCAAATTTCGATCATATCTTGTCGCAGCTTGCCCGACTGGACATGTCCCAGTCAAGAATTTACTAGAGAGAGGTGGTTGTTCTAAACCTCGGAAAAGGTATGGCTGTTTAAAATTACGAGCTCTTGTTAAAGTATGACTTACTTGAGCAACATGTTCGTCTGGAAACTGCACATCGTCGAAAGATGATGTGGCCAGCCTTAAAAGAAGAAAACATGTTTATTTTACGTTATGTGACTATAGCCTGTAGAATGATAATGACAATGATAACAAAGATATTTGATAATTACAACGGTGATGATAATAATTATAAGGATAATGACAGCGAAAAATATGATGGTGGTGATAACGAACATGAAAATGATAACGATATCGAAAATAATAGTAATAATTATAATATAATAATAATAATAATAATAATAATAATAATAATAGTAATAATAATAAAAGGAAAATGAGAAATGCAGATTGTGTGGAAAGACCCAGGAAAGTGTCACGTATGTGCTACCAGGGTGTAGTGCGACATGATGCGTCTAAGATTTGCGACCATGCTATTTGCTCTGAATATGACAATTTTCCTACCTGTTGTCGTCTTGGATATCTAGCATTTCTGGATGATCCTGAAGAACCTGTCGATAAAGGTTTGATATTATTGTCAATATTTCGACTTTTGACATTATTATACCTAACACAACGGCATATCACGTCTGAAAACGAGCACATCAGTTGCTTCTCTCAACCCCCTCATACAATTGATCTGTTCACCAGCCGTTTCATTTTGTCGGTTGAGTTTCACAGATCAAACTTACAGGAGAAAAATGAGGAAAGCATTTTGTGACTGAGGACTTTCCAAAGAGAACACCTTACATCAATTACTGCGATCCAGTAGTCGTCCGCTCCCCCAGAGGAAAGACACCACGCCACCGAGGTCTACGTCCCCTGCTCTTTTCAGACAGACCTATGGTTTCATTTACGTTCAGTTTAACTTGATAAGAGAAAATAGAGGAGACAAGGCCAAGATGAATTTGAGATGAGAGCTGAGTCGAGGAGCTAACGTATTTTCTTACCTGAAGTGCGTTATTAACATCATTATTTGCTTGTCGCAAGGCTGAGGCAGCCCTTACTTCGGAGAAACCCATCTCTACAAGAGCTTTATAGGTATCCACGTTTACCCTTGATTTTAACAAACAAAAAAATTTAATTAAAAAATGACGAGATCAAACCAGGCAGGAGTCTTCTGTAAAGAAAGCTGCGAGTCTGTGTCAGTGAGAATCTATGGTATTATTAACAATTATTCCACGAGTGCGCGTTGGATTTGAGATGGTAGCTAGCCAACGAGTCGCGTAGCGGCGTATACCATGATGGCTAAGCCAATCAAAGCTCTAGAATTGCATTATCCAATGATTCAGTTTTTAATAATAAAAAATATTAGTACAAGTAGTCAAGGACATAATCAAGGCAATGGAAAAACGAGCAGTTATTGATCTCATCTCAGTCCTACAATAAGGTGCAAATAAAAGACGATGATGACGATGATGATGATGATGATGATGAAAAAGAAGAAAAAGTGTGGAAATCTAAACAATTTCAGTATCCACCAAGCACATACATGTACATCTCACAATGTTTTTGTGCCCACTTCACATCTGTCAAGGATGGATCCTTTCAAAGCCTGATTTATTCTACCGCATAAGTTGATGCGATCACAGCGAGGATTTAAAACTCCTCACATGTGTTAATATGTTATCTTATGCATTCAAGATCAATATGTAATTCTCACCAATCTCCTGCTGCTGTTTTTCCTAATTCTCTTTCAAGTTTTTTTCGCTTTCTGTCTTTCTTCTCCTTGTCTTTTCTTTCTTTTTTCTCCTGTTGTGAATAAGATATCAGTGAAACCCCGCAAAATTACCTGTTACGTCAGACCTTTGTCAAGACGCTTCTTAGCTAAGACGAAGAAGAGGAAGAGAGAACCCTGGGAACGAAGTTGGAAGCACCTTGCGTCCATTCTCGTCCCCAGAGCCACTCGGCTTAATTTGTAATCAAGACCACGTGACCAAGAAACGACGGGCTCTGGGGACGAGAATGCCTTGCGTCATTCTTGCGTCTTATAAAGACGTGAACCCATCACGCATGCGTAATATTTAAAATAAGAAACCTGTTGCTTACAAGTGATGATTGACCTGCAAAGTTTTTGGCGGGAAAATGTTCCCGCGGTCAGCTACTTTTCCTGCCTGTTCCAAACAACTTTTTTTGGTTTCTGTGGGCGCTTTCCATTTACGAAAAAAACCCGGAAATTTCGGTGGTAGCAAAAGTGGAATTTCCGATTGGTAAAAAGTTGTTCCATTTGGTCGTAAACCCCGATACGTGGCTGGGTGCCCGACCGTGGACCTGGAACTGGTACAAACTACAAGAAACGTAAATGGAACACGACATTCCGTTCGGAAATTCCAACCGGGAAAACGGGACCACCTTTTTAGATTTTCCACTTTTTCTGGGAATTTTCCAGTGGGACGAACCGACAAACGTGTTCCATTTACCGCCGAACCGGAAATTCCGGAAATTTTGACTAAATGGAAAGCGCCCTGTGTTTCTCTACGGTCTTTTATTTGCTGTTCCTCCTTTTTCTAATGGCCACGCCAACAAGAGAAAAAGGTAATACTTCGTCAAGCATTGAAGAAAAGGAACTTTTTCTCATTTGCCACGAAAAGGCAGTTTCCAATAATCTCAAGTGACAAGTGCGTAGAACTGCTTGTGTAAGTATACATTAAGCTTACGTTTTAGCTCACTTATTAAACTTGTCAAATTATTTACGTGCTCGTAAAAACGAGTACACAGTCCAGGGGACCAGAAAGAAGACCACAACAAGAAATAAACCCGCGTTTATACGAGCTATTCGCGTGTTATGTAGAACATGCTCGTACGAATGGGATGGATGACCCTATCGTTGTGCTCTACAGAAAGCTTAAGCAACAACGACGGCGAAGCTACGAAAACGTCACTTAAAAATGCAAGCTGCTTCAAACTTTATCGCGCGTATTCCATCTAGCTCACTTCGTTAAATGTTGGCAATTTTTTCTGGAGTTGAATTCTAAAAGACTGTATCGAAGTTCAGGAAAAGAAAAGAAAATTCGTCGTCTTGGGTTCACGTCCTCCACAAAACGTGAAAGTTTTAAAGTATTTTCACGTCGTTAAAGTCGTGCAGTGACGGCAAAAAAATGTCTCAAAAGCGTGATGCACGTGCAGAGTTGTTGTTTCGCTAATCTAAACCTATTGCTTTTTTGCCGTTCTCGATGACATCGCCGTTGTCGTCGCTTAAGCCCCCTATTCCCGACCATGCATGGAAGACAACTCTGAAGACAAGGCTTGGACAAGTTAAGTACTGTATGTTGCATCAAAATCAAAGATCTCACACAAAGTTTGCAGCAACTCAACGCACAGACCCTATCCTGCGTGAAGATGTCTACTATTTCCGCGTGTAAGAAAAGACGACGTCTGCACGCTGTCTAACAGCCTCCCACGGAACGTTCTTAGGCTTTCAACACGCGTTCCTTTTCGTAGGGGAAGATTGCATGACGAGCCAAAAGAAAAGCATTCTTTACCTGTCTTCGTTGTGTAATGTAATCCACTGCTAAGGTGGAATCCCCGTGACAAGCTCTTAATCCAAGCCTAGCTTCTGTCTCTGTAAATCCCATCAACATCACTACAAACACAAAAAGATGTGAGCAATATAGAATTGCAGCCCGAGCGATGATACTTTTCTTCTACTGCTCTCCTGCCATCTTGGACGTTGAAACTGGCAGGAAGTTGGGTAGAGTCTAAAAATGATTCTGAGGGAGAGAACGACATGTTGGCAATTCAGTGGGCTTACTCATTTACTTCCGGTACGCTCCCAATGCCTTTTCACACTGGGACGGAAGGGTGGCAGAAAACTATCCGGTATGTGGCGATCCACTTTTAAGATCGGCGCAGACCATCTTCACTCTGTTATAGAAATTGCGTCGGAATCAACTTTCTTACATGAGAACAGAAGCTATATCCGCTATGGTCTTCGAGTCCGCGCGAGATCATTCTGGTATAGTGCGAATATACCGTAGCCTTAACTGTTGATTATGTAGCAGTAATAAACATGTTACAAAACTTACACTGCGTCAGTTGATGTTTGTCAATATGCAGTTTTCCTTGCATACGTTCAGCCTACGATGGATTTCAAACGTATATAACGTTATCATTTAGTTAGAACACAAGAGAATGAGGGGCAAATTCACCTACAAAATGAGCGAATTGGAATAATCGCCAAGAAGTTTGGAAGAACGCCGACTCATTTTGTAATTGACGTTTTCACGACAGTCGACGCAGACCAGATCAAGAAGCGGGACTTCCCAGTTGGCATAAAAAGACAACAGCAAAATAACAGAAAAATAAGGTCAGATCACACCTCAAGTTTAAAGTGAGTACATAGATCGATCCCAAACCTTCCCCTTCCTATCAAGAATGTTTACTGTACCTTATCTAGGCATGTCACAGCAGTGGTGATATCTCCCTTGTGATATGCGCATACGGCCTCAAGGATATGCAGCCGTACAAATAAGGCCAGCTCTCCACCTCTACCACCCTGAGAGAAGTCATCACATTTTTAAGCAAATAACCTTATCGAGGGATTTTTAAGCTGACGAAGCAAAATAATTGTGATTCATTATCAGTGGTCAAAATCTTGCAATATCAAAGGCTTGTCAAGCCGGTTACTGTCAATGTAACTATACTTTGTAATGAATGCAGGAGCATGCCCTACAATTGTACCAGTTACACAGAGATCACATGGGGAGACCAGTAAAACTTGTATTAAGCGGTGGACATTACTCAATACAGTTTTGTATTAGCGAAAATTTGTGAAAATGGGACTTACTAATGCTTCATTATGGAGGCCACCTACTACAGAACTGTAGCGACAAATGATTGCATCTTACATACCCTTACAAAAGTCAACCTTTCAAGATTTTGTCCATAGCTTCTTTGAAAACACTCTTTGCACTTTTGTAATTTTTCCTCTGTAAGAAATGGGCAAAATAATTAAAGAAATCCCATAGACTTAAAAAAATTATGGAAAGATAGCCAATAAAACCTTTTAAAGAAACTGTCAAGTACTATAAAGTTGAAATACGACAGTTAAGTATGAGTCTAGAATAACTGCCTGTATAGTATTGTTAATGAATAGCAAAGCCAAGAGAGCAAACCTGCATTGGGCAAATCTACAATGCTTTTCAGCCAGAAGTAACACCAAACAATGTCTAAGCACAGAATTCCATAATTATCCACAGCAGCAAGAATCTGAGCTTTGCAGTGACTGTGAAGAAGAAAGCAAGTAAATAAATAAATAAATAACAGCCATTATTTTTTTGCTACATGTACAGTAGTTCCCACCAATTTCCCAGGCACAACGTGTATATTAAGCCTTTGAGACTTTCCACTCCTATAACATAGCTCTGCAGAGTATCACTTGAAATATGGTAACACACTTAAATACAATATTATTAAATGAAAGATGATAATCGCAGTTATATACACAACTTTTGCAGTTACGAAAAAGCCTGAAAAAATTCAGGCTTGCTTGGATTCGAACCCTTTTCCCTTGACCCTTGACCTTGAATACAGTTAAAGTTCTCATAAGCGACCACCTTGGAAAAATTTTTCAAAAAAGTGGCCATAACTAGAGCTGGTAAAACAACAGAGGGTGTTCACTTATAAGACCTTCAGAAACTCATTAATGATTCATAAAGAAAAACAAAAGCAATTAATGTTCAATAAGTGTCTTTATATCTTATATAGACATGGCTAAACTTGACGTCCAATTTTTTAGACCAATTGCACAGAGTGCAGTTTCATTATGGTGTTGATTTATGAGAAAAATACTCTGATTGGTGGCTTATGAGAGCTTAAAAACAAAGGAAAAGTCTGGTTGGGTAATCCCAAAAGTGGGCGCGGTCACATATCAGAGCTTTAATTACAAAGTTTAAGTCACAGTTCAAACGGGGTTTCACAAAGGTGGTCGTAACTAGAGCTGGTCCCTCATGAGAGTGGTCACAAGGAGAGCTTTGACTGTACCTGAATTCTTTCTCTGCCTCCAGAAGCAATAAAAGAGCTTCAGCGTAATTTCTTTTCTTGAGTTCACTCCGTCCTTTTTCATGTAAGGTAAGTGCCAGTGTTAAAGCCTGCAAAAATCAGAAAACTCAAAATTTTATAATAGAATTCTTGGTTCCCACCAAATCATACATGCCATACCGCATAAGTAAATAAAATTAATAAAATTAATAAATAAACAAATAATGATTGGAGGTAGCACATCCACAAAGTGGTTCTTCGTCTACCTGATTCCTGGTCAAATTGGAGTTAGAAAATGTTGCATTTTGAGGGGAGGGGAAACCTCTCGGAGAACGGGAGAGAACCAACAACAAACTCAACCCACATATGGTGTCGATGTCAGGATTTGAACCTTGCTCTTGCTCCCCATAATAATAGATGTGCATCTTTTATGTAATTATATTATTGATCACTCCATCCAAACATTGCAGAGTCCTGTGACTCCATCTATTCATAGATTCAAGATTATCTACGAGTACACCATGCAGAGAGCTTGGTAGTTATATTAAACAACACAAACCACAATAACTAACCTTTCTTTCATGATCTGGCAGTTGTATTGGTTTGCCTTCTTGGTCATTTATCTCAAGGAAAAAGCGGTCATCTCTAACTTCTGATGTTATGAAAAATGATAAATTTAAATACAGTAAGTTAAAAAAAATAAGTGTGTTAATGAGACAATATTCTTGAAGTATCAAAGTGCAAGAAAAAAAAATTTTATTTCAATAAGCTCTATACTTATAGCACTCCTTCCCTACCTCACCCTCCCTTCTCTCCTAATACCACCCAGGCAGGCTGGGTTGGTTGCAGTCATGCAAAAATGAGTTATAGTAATATGAGTACACTCTGCCAGTCAATTGAAGTTTGATTACAATTATTATTGAATTCTGTGAGACCCACTTCTTTTTTGAAAGATCATGATATATCTGGGTTCAGTTAGAAAACTAGTATTCCACAAGAATTCAAACACAAATCACAACCACTTCATGAAATACAATGCCCAATCAAAGTGTAAATAAACACAACAAGTAAAAGCCACTCACTGTCCTTCCTACTTGACAAAGCCTCAGCTGCTTGTCTTGTCCGTGATACACTAGCTTTAGTTTCTTCCTCTTTCTTTTGTTGAAGTTCAGACTCAGCAACAGACTGCGAAAGTAGAAGCACCATTATCTGCCCATTGTTCTTCACATTTTGGCTCTCCAGTGATTTGTCTGATAATAGAAATGTGATTGAAAGTAAACACTTAATTTGTGTATCTGAAATAACTTTTAATAATTATTGCTCTAAGCGCAGTAGATGACTCAATAACTTTCTCTTCTGTTTAAAGGAAGTGGCATATTTAACAAAACTGAACCAACACTTACCATCATCAACAACATGTCCTTTGCAAATAAGTTTCATTTTATCAGGGTCTAAACCAGACACTGCATTTAACCTGAATAGAACAGCATCATTAACTACTGGTAAAATTTAAATAATTATAATAATATTCAATGTTAAATTTCAGCTTAGGAAGTTGTCTTCCTCATATTAATTAATTACTTAATAATTAGAATAGTACATGTACCTTTTCTTGAAATTGGCTCCACTCACATGTAGACCAATTTGAATCTGTAACCTGCTATCTAGTCCCAGGGGAATGCTACCAGTTAGATGAACTTTGATGGTTGCAATTCCTGACTTGGCAAACCTTTGTCCTGTCTGCAATTTTGAGAGAGCATGCACTCTCAGCTCCTCCAATGCATCTTTGATTTCTTCAGGTAAAGCTTCTAAAGCTGCTGAGTAGCGGTTAATCATTTCCTGTGAAGTATAAATGTATGAGCAGGGTTGTCACTATGATAGGCCATTTGCACTAAGAGGTCATGTGACATCGTTTTTATGAAAATGAAAGTTATATGATTTTGCCTTCCAAAAATGATTAGTGGGTCATATCTTAAACAAAATAATGGTGATTTGGTTTGTCAAACCTGCACCATTTTCTTAAAATGAGTAAGTTTGTAGCTGGTCACGTGACCAAAATGTGATTTTTAAAATTAGGAATTACATCTTTCTGAACACAAATTTTGCACTTAAAGTTCAAGAGAAATGTTGAAAAGATGATGTGGTAATGTTTACAGCACATCTGAGCGTAACTATCAAACGTTTAACAAGATATAAGCAAAAAGTAGTTTGGGCCGCCATGCTGGAGGGCAAGAGTATGCCCTCCAACATGGCGGCCAATACAAATCATACTGCTTTGTTGAAAAATCAAAGTGCCATAAAATATCTCCCTTAAATGCGTTTCCTCTCAAATTTTGGGTTTAAGATAATTTTTATGTGCTCTGTCAATTTTTGGCATCACCAAGATTCCAACTCATCGTTTAAAGGAAGCATTGGTCACGTGACCTCTTAGTGCAACTGGCCTATTTCAAGTTGCCGGATAAATACAAGAGGTAGGCGGGGGATCAAACAGCTTGGGATTTCTTTTCAGTTTTGGTTCTACAGTCCAACCTCTTTAATACGGACACCAAAGGGACAGAACCAATATTGTCCGCTTTACAGAGGTGTACCTATTATAGAGGTAGGGAATGTCTGATTTTTGGCATTTATGGGACCAATGGAACTATCTGTAACAGAGAGGTGTCCGTAACGAGAGGTTTGACTGTATTTTTCTTCGACTTTCCCATGAATGTAGCCGGGGGAAATCCCTGTCCCCCGTCTCTTAATGACAGCCCTGTACAGGGTATGAGTAAAGCAGATGCCAATGTCTGGAGATCTGTCAGGTGTCTGAGCATTCAGCTGAGATCCATATCATCGGGTTCCACTTGGTACTACCCATTATATCATCACTTTACAAATTCTTTCCTTGTAAGCAAAAAGTTGACCAAAGCGGACTTACCAAAATATCCAGCAATCTTGACCTCGAGATTGATCATTTGTCTTCATAAAAATTAAATTTCATTTTATCGCGCAATTAATAATGTTAAATGATGACCAAAATTGTATCTTGTAAATATTACATTACCGTTTCACAAGTTTTCAGGAAGAATATGATGGAGTATCTTACCTCAGGGTACTTCCCTGGTTCATCGTTTGATGTGGTGTATGGTGCAAGCCAGAGCTTTACATTCTCCGATCTTAGTTTCTCACGAACTCGATTTAAGAGGCCATTAAAATGAGGGCTTTCGTCAGCCATAATATGTACTCTTCAAAAGGTATAAGCAAAGTAAATCTGAAAGATTTTATTTAGTTTCGATGAGATTGCAATATTGTTTTGGTCTCATTTGGGAAACCGCAGTCCAAGCAAAGGGGTTTTGCGGCTACTATGTCCAAATTTGGTCAGGTAGCTAGACCCAGTACTTCGCGCCGTAATAAAAATGGCGGATGTTTATCTCATTTCGGTGACAATTCAACTTCGTTGTTTTACGCGCCAAAGGGTAGAGCATGCATAAATCTTGAAAACAATCTTCTGCATCATGTCCTCAATAGTTCTTCTGGTTGGTCAGTGTGGCAATCAAGTGGGACATGAACTAATGGGTTTGATTGACAAGAGTGACACCCACCCATTAAGTCACAGAGATGGCAAATTACGTTGTGTCTGTGTGGACAGTGAATCTAAGGTCATTAGGCATAATTACCGTGAAGATACAAGATCTAGCAGTTTGTACAGAGAAGCCAACTTGATTGTCGGCCAAAGAGGACGAGGAAATAACTGGGCACTGGGTTACCACGGATTAAGTGGAGAGACAGAAGATGTGTCACTGTTAAATCGCTCCATGGAAACTTTGCGAAAGGAAGTAGAGAGATGTGATAACTATGCTGGTAAGAGACTATCTGGTCTCATCAAGGTTGTGCTCTATCAGCGCACGGTGGTTCCTAATGCCTAACATTTGTTCACAGACAAGAATATCTAAGGTTTTGCATAGGATTTCACATGTTCAAAACACTTGCTCCCTTCAATTTTTCTCAGAGCACAGCCTTGGGTTTCATAGTTTTGTTAGGCTGCTTAGTGAGTGGATTGCCACTCACAGGGCTGTCAACCACCCACGTCTTCAAATATTGAGAATAACATTGATAGGGAAGGGATGATAGATGTAATCATAACACCTAATTACTCCGATTGTCACAAATTTGCAATGACAGAAAATGCAAGGAAACCAATCAGATTATTATATTACAAAGGCATGCCAGAGTTGATGAGGAAAAGTTCAATGTTAACATTAAAAGAGCTCCAACAATGCAAAGTAGTTGAAATTTTGTTGTCGGAAAGTCGAGTCTACTGAAGAAATGCCAATCTTCAGCACTTATTGGGGAGATTTTTATTCTCTAATTTGGAGATCGGGAGATGTTGACAGCACTGCACTCAGGTGAACAAGCATGTGAATATGCCAATTCAGGGCTCAGATCAGAAAGATCTTGAATTCTATCTTGTCCTTTGGACTAGCTTCCCTCATATTTTGCTGGCCTGAATCATTGCTTGCTTGTCATGAGGTAATGATTTAGTTAAAACATGATTTGCCTGGACCCTTGCCCTTTGAGCTGCAAGTGAGCTCGACAAGTTACCTTCCCAGCAAGACAATCTACTGGTCCCAGACAAGCAGACTAGACTTTTTTCTAGCCTTGAATTGTATATTGGCTAAGGAAAAATGAAGCCCCGGCATTCACATCTTGCCCACTCCACTGGCTAAAAAAGGAAAGCTGCCATTTTAATATTGCTGTTTGCACACAACATAACCTGTTTCCTAAATAAAACATTACCAAACCAGCCAGCTGGCTATTTACAAGCGTGGCCGAGGATTTGAACTCGGGACTACATGAACAAATCCAGCTAGCAGTAAGGGCGGGATTTGAACTGGGGGCCTCCAAATTCCAAGTCCGGTGCTCTAAGCACTCGGCCACGCTGTCTCCTCACTTTCATCTAAACGCTGTTTATTGTGAATGGTTTTATGAAAGCATATAGCATTGACTAGAACAGCATTAATCCCATAAAGTAACCCACTTAAAAAGATATCTGGGGACTGTCCAATGATTTCTTAAACCAAGGCTTAAGTTAGACAATGTTTAAATAAGCAATTCTTAGAGCCTGTATGGTCAGTTGTCATCTTAGAGAGTACTGCATTGATTTTACTCAAAACGTTTTATCATGGTTTTCTCTGCAAGGCACAATTGTAGTCCATAGTCTTACTGGTGGCACTGGGTCTGGACTGGGATCACATCTTGTGGAGAGAATAAGGGACACATACCCTTTGGCACATGTCATGTCTGTTGCTGTTTCACCTCATTCATCTGGTGACAGTCCACTGCAACATTACAACTCACTTCTAAGCTTAGCATCTCTACAGCGGTGAGTGTGGTAGTTTGAATGCCTTTCTCTAAACAACTCATATTTTTATTTGTACTGAATATGACTGATCTCAAGTGTTATCAATATCGTCAGTTATCTTCACTCTCAAGGCCACTTTCTGACTACAATAATATTTTAAAACTACTGTGAGTTGAAGTTTACGACAAGAAATCAGACTTGTGCCATCTGCCGAACTTTGACCAGTCAAACATAATATTATTTCAGCTATGAACTCAATAGTTAGAACCACCTTGTACAGCATAATAAACAGGACCACAGGAAAGTAATGCTCAGTAGCTTTTATTTGAATGGGCAAACTTAAAGATTTCTGTGACAGAATCAAAAGTTAGAATCACCTTGTACAGCACGAGAAACATTACCACAGGAAAGCACTGCTGAGGGACTTTCATTTTCGTCAAAAACTGTTGATTTTGTCCCCTTGTAAGATAACCCCCCCCCCCCCTGCACAACCTCCCTCCGTTTTCAAGGTGGTCTCGCAAGTTCCACCTCATACCTCAGACTTCATGAGGGTGTAATATATTAACTTGCAGGGCGGCACTTACTACGGAGAAAAGCCTTAATAAAAAATGCATAAAATTTATGCACTATGCATTTAATGACCATAAATGATCTTCTTCTTTCAGACATGCAGACGGGGTGTTACTTTTCAACAATGACGATGTTCTTCATCATATAACATCACACAGTGGGCTAGTATCACGACATAAGCCATCAGGCTCCATCTCACTCAAAGATATGAACAGCTACATTTCAGCAAGCCTTGCTGGAGTGTTACAACCCTTAGGCAAAAAGCCTAAACGGATAAAGGGAAAACCCAAGGAAAGGGCAAGTCGAGTAATGACAGACATTATGAAGGATTCAAAAAGTGAGAAGTTTAGCTATAGTGGAGCACGACCGAGAAAACAAGACAGTATTTCTAAAAAGCTTTCGTTTTCTATGGATGACCCTCTGGGTAAAGAGGATTTCAGTTTTAACTGGTCAGCAGTGACTGCTACTCCTCAGCGAAACTCCTCTGCCTCATATCTATCTGATGACTATTCCGTAGATACGCTTTCTTGCGTAACTGATTTTGACTCTGGTGCCGAAATGGCTAGACAACCCAGATCGACTGCTTCAGCGCTGCTTCGCTATCGGGGTATCGTAAGCCCGCCATCTTCAAAGACCAGGAAGTCGAACATGATTGACAGCTGTTTGTCATCGCAGTTGTCAGCTGGAGTCTCAAGTGGCAATGAACCATGGGAAATGCTCCGGTCTGTTTGCGCGGAACCATCCAAAAAATTTGCAACAGTGCATCACCTGGCGAAGTTGAAGGTTACCTGGGAAGCACTCGCTCAATCACTTATTCACTCAATACGTCGATATGACAGGCAAGGTAGCCAGTTTAGCACCCTATGCTCTCTTCTCATCGCCCGTGGAGACTATGAGGGTTCCTTTGCAGAGGTGTCCACAAAAATTGAAGATAAATTTCGACAGTCACTGGGATGTGTGCAGTGGAATCCTTTTCCAGTTGACTTTTGGATAAGTGTGTAACCAGTTTCTTGTAAATCACTAAATAGCCTGCCAGCAAGCTCTCCATTTCGAGCGGCGAGCCAAGGGCGCCACCTGCGCGTGACTTCCACCAAATCCGCCAACAGAGAGGAGAAATGTGACGTCAGGTTACCACGGTAGGAAAATTTCTGGATCACAACAATCTTCTTGACAGAGACGGCCATTTGCATTGTCGAAAGATGCAAGAAAATTACGGGCTAGCGTTTTGTTCCTGAGTGTAATCATGGACAGGAAAGTCATACATGTCAACCTTTTCGCTATTTTCTGTCATATCTGCAGGACCACGGTTTGTTGAGATCCGGAAACCAACTCAACCAAGGGAACGTGATGTAACGACTTTTTCTCTCTACTGAAGAGCTTGCTCGCAGGCTAACCACTAAAAAGTCATCTTCATTGAATCTAGTCTGCACCTACCTCTTTCAACGCCTGCTACGCTGGCTACATCGAATCTTGCTGAAATTGGGTCTCAGACAAGAACTTAAAAAAGAACTTAAATAAAGACGTTTTTAAGCGCCGCACGTCAACCGGAACTGGACTCCTTGCATTCTTGGGCAGTTGTTATGCCCAAATTTTCAGGTGAATTGTCTCTATGCGAGTAAAGAGACTTGAAGATATACATTTAGTAGCGTCAAGGCATATTGAAAGAAAAAAGTCTCACTTGCGGTTGACGTTCGTCGCTCAAAAACGTCTTTGCTTAATTACGTTCCCTAATAGCCTGCACGGTAGCGGGCTGACTTGTGCGAGTTCGGGGAAAATTTTGGAGACGGTGCGCGAGGAATTTTTCCACGACCTTGCACGGGTAAGCCTGCTCGCATGCTACATGCACGGTGGTGTTTCGGCGTTCTTAAGCGCCTGAAATACCGCACTTTCCCTTTCGAAACCCCTGTCAAGCATGCTAAGAAGTTAATTCATTTCTGAACGTATTAGGTCGTTTCGCCATCGTCTTATATATGTTATTTGTCATGTTTCTTTCTTAAAGTGTGATTCACCATTTTTTTATAGGTCAGTATAATCCAGTGGGTCCTAAAGATTCACAGTCTCTCACACTGTGCTTGAACTCCACAAAAATAGTTGAGACACTAGAGGATGTCATGTCCAAGGCAAGAACAATGTATGACGCAGGTGCTTATTTACATTGGTTTTGGAAACACGGCTGTTCCAAGGTAAAGGCTGTAAAAATTGATTCAAAGTGGTTTCCAGCAACTGCGATGACCTTCATTGCATTTATTTAAGATGATTATTTGTAGTAACGAGCTTTTTCTGTTGCTGCTCCGGAACTTTGGAATAACTTACCGGAGGATATTAAATCTGCAAACTCAATTGATGATTTTAAACGCAAACTTAAAACATTTCTTTTTATGCGAACTTATGAATCGCGACGTTTTTATTTGTTATCTGATTTTTTTATCTGTTGTGTACATTTATCTATTTTGTATAGTTAGCGTCTAGTTTTAATGTCAATTTCTTGCGATTAATTTTTACTTTTTACTTCTATCTAATTTTTTGTAAACAGCGCCTTTGAATCTTGTAGAAAAGGCGCTATATAAGTGGATTATTATTATTATTATTAGTTAATACAAGTTTGACTGGAACATTGAAAAAGAACTCCCCCGCTGATCTGTCGGCCGACTGTCGGTAGACTGTCGACCAACAGTCGGGCGACGAACGGCAACAAACTGTCACAGTCGGCCGACAAACGGTTTTTTACCGTTGCATGCCAGGTTCCTGACCGGCGTAAATGCCCCCAAAAAAGAAAGACGAGGGAGAAGTAGTGCTGAAGACGACAAAGGGCAGTTTCAATTTCTTCTTTCCATAAAAGCGCAAAGAAAGGTGAGAAAAAATTAGGATGCGTTCTCCTTCGTTTAACGCAGTTCGTGAGTTGGCAAGCACGACGGCCGCAACACAAAACCATTTAGGTGGATAAACAAAACTTTGCCATTGCACGTGCTTGTTGGATCTTGGTTTATTTATCTACCGTTCTTTAAAAAGTGTGACCACGATATTTGTGACAAGGTGTGTTTCTTTTTTCAATAACTGTAGAATGATTTCATAGATGCGTTTGACACGTTGGAGTCTGTTGTGGACGATTACAAGCTTGCAGTGAGATAACGATGAAGTAATAGGAGACCGAGAGCAAGTAATGGTATAAAAACTGTCGGCCAAGCGTGGAAAAAAAAACATTGGATAGCAAACATTAAGTTCAAGTTAATATCCCTCAGCTCGCTCAACTCACCAATCAGAGCTGAGGTCAACCATATACAGGCCCCTTCTGTATGCTCCGTAGGGTTTACGGTCGTTTCGCCAACCTCCTGTTCGCCAACTTCTGAAGTCGTTTCACGTACGTGTTGGGTCAGTTCCCCAACTGCTTTTGCCTGATCAGTTGCTGAAAGAACGAGGTATACACATGCGTATCGCACTTTTTTGTATCATGGCTGAGAGAACGAGGCATATACATGCGCAGCGCTCGTTTTGCTTCTTAGCGAAACGGCATAAGATGTTAGCGAATGGGACGGTGGCGAAACGACCGGTCACCCTCCGTAGGTATGTAACAGGGGACTACGCCTTATTGTCAAACGTCCCCCTTCCACGTTAACGATCGAGCAATATGTAGCTGAATACAGGATTGCACCGACCAGCGGTGCGGTTTCAGTGAAAGAATGGGTTTGGTGGGGTTGCTTATCTGGTGGGTTCAAAAACTTGGTTTCAGTCTATGTCACTAAGTGTTTGCAATTCCTCTCTTAATTATCTCTTAATCTCTATCTCTTAATTATCGAGTCGCTTTAAATCAGTCGTGCTCTGTAGAATCCACCTGTAATTTATGGTGTTCGACCGCAAAAAACAGAGCAAACCAGGATTAATCTTTATAATGTGTTTTAATTTTTTCACGGTTTTAATTCATAACAAAGTTGTTTGAAACAACATTTTATCTTGTTGATATCGAGTGTAAAGCAATAAATAACTATTTTTGAAAAATAACTGTGCGATTGTTCAAGGCTAATCGCGCACAGCTGAACTTCATACCCAGGCGCTGCACGAAACTCTTCTTTCGGTAAAAAAAATCTCTCTTCTAATCAGTCAGATAAGTTTCTTTGTTTCATAACCTGTTCCAGGCGTTCAGTGGAGATTGGCGTAAAAAGCGGAGGGGAAAAGAGGAAGAGGGTCCTCGCCCCAGTCTTCCTCGTTTTTCCCTCGGTCTAATTTTGGCCTGCGCCCCACTATATAAAACGCCTTGAACAGGATACCCGTTTCACAGCCTTGCTAGTGCAGATCATCCTCGTTTACAAACACATCTAAAGCCTCTAGAACCTCCGGTGTAACCATCGGCCAGTTAACCATAGAGAATCCGGGCAATAAAACAACAAAGACAGTCACGTTGTCCATAGACGCAGCATATAGCGCGCATTTAACAAGCCTCTCCGCGAGGCATTTAGCCAGCAATCGCGCTTTTTCTTCCTTAGTTAGCTCTTTTCCTCCAAAATCTTTCAGCACTTGAAACGTTTTATTATCAGGGAGAGAAAACCGGTGATGACGTAGATATTTCAGTGTGATGTCATCTAGTGTGACGTCGTTCGAAGAAATATCATCGTTCATGTCTGTGTTTTTGTCGCTGATTTCTTTCGTTTCAATAGTGTTGCTTGTTTCTTGTGTTTTCGCTGAAAGTTGGTATTCTTCAGCAAAATTTATTTCTCGGTGGTGCATTTGTAGCTTCCCCAAATTCACTTCACTTCTGCTTCGACTTATTTGTCTTTCGCTTGTCGTGAAATATCCTGTCTTTACACCGTGATCGAAAAACGCGTTATTGTCTGAATTGCTGTCAGGATCCACGACCTTTAAAAAGATCTGAGGGCTCTTTGCATCCTTCGTTAGGTCTCCAGAGCCCGTTTTGGATGTTCTTTGTTTTCGTTGCCTGCCTCCAATGATCTCGTTCTTTGCTTCCTTTTTCATCTGTCCGAAAAATCCATTGACCAAATGAACGGTTTCTTCGTACGAAAACAACTTCCAAAATCCCCCGGAAGCCATGACGAGCAGTTGATCAGTGGGGTCCAAAGGAACGCTTTTCACACCAGGCTCATTGATAACACATCTCTTTAAGTCCGTATCTCCAATGCTCCCGATGCCCCTTGTCACACCTAACGCACCATTTATAAGGGCGCACTTTTCGGTCTTAACGATGACCCCGCTTGACTTCTTCACTCGATCGCGTTCTTTCTTATTATACAAGTCATGCTTGTGTGTGAGAACTTTAACAATGTCACCATCCCGTAACAAAATGGCACCCACATTTCCCGCGTTCGCTATAAAGCACATATCACGAGTCAAAACGCACGCTACTGCTGAGCAACCACTCCATCTGCTTTGTGACCGCTCCTCCTCGGACAGTAACAGAAGTCTTTCAGTGTTCGAAAAGGAACTTTTGAAGGCCGCAGCAACTTGTTTTCGCGTTGGCGTAGCTTGTTCATGAGTTATAACAGAGTCAAGCTCTTCTTTCAAATAAACATGAAGATGCTGGCTACACTTTTCCGCCGTGTGTTTTCCGCTGTAACCATCGTAAACCGCGAAAAATGCGCTGTCTGTGTGGTCCAGGAAGTTGTCCTTATAGATGTGCACATCCTCCATGTTTTTCCATCTCTTGTTTGCCTCTTCGCAAACCCCAGCTGCTGTTGTGCAAGAAAGATCAAAACCTTCACCTGAAACTTTTATCTCTGGAATCAAAGAGAAGCGAAAAAAAAAAATCAGTCTTGTTATAAATTACTATCAAAATATAACGATGTTACTATATACTCCTTACCAAAACTATTTGATTTTTGAAAAAAGGCCTTTGTCGCTCGCCCGACTGTTTGGAGGTCTAAAATTTTCACTTTTTTTTTCTGCAATGAACTCGTTAGGACGACTTGTGGCAAGTCTACAAAACTAAAGGTGCGTTTCTTTGGGTTTCAAAGAGGATATAGATGGATTGCGACTTGAAAAAAAAGAGCCAACAATTTAAAGTTCAACAAATTTCTGCTGTTGTTATTGTATTATTAAATACTGATCATGCTTTTTTCTCTTTGAAAGAATCGCTTTTAGTCTATAAACACAACTAAGAGCGATCAACTTCTGTCCGTAAATTAGACGTTCTAACAAAAAAAGAGGGTACTCCCTTATTGGGGATCATTTCGGGGGCTGGTACTTTATTTCGCGAGTACTTAATTTCGCGTTTTGGCGAGACAGCTAGTATTTCGCGGGATTTTACTTTCTCGATTTAAATAGGAAAATATGAAAAAGGGGGCATTAAATTTCGCGAGGAATTTTTTTCGCGGGTTATTTTGCAATTTTTTTCAAATCCCGATAAACGCGAAATTAAAGACCAGCGAAATCAGGAGCGAAATTAAGTACACATTAATAAGGTACCCAACTGAACCTGAAATTGTGTGAAGCACGTGTTTTTGAACCGAATTTCGGGGAGCAGGCAAATAAAGGCCACAAAAAAAAACAGTTTTCACCGCTGGAGTAAGATCGAGTCGAGTAAAGAGCCGAGCCACTAAAGCACGAGGTTGCCTCTGACAGCCTGTGCGGACGGTTCGCTTGACTGACTTCGCAAATGACATTTAAATGTTGTACTAAACTTGACGTGGCGTTGTACATGCGTTTTAATCCGAGTTAACACCTCTTGGGGTGTAAAGGGCACCTAGAAGATGTTTTGTTTTTAAAATAAGGGTTACGCAAATACCATTATGACATTATGCATCACGCAACTTCATAACTCAAATCGTCAAGGCAAACCGAGCGCTTTGAAGTCTAAAAACTGTCTCCCAAGTAACCAATTACACAGAGTACTTTCAATGGTTGTCCCGGGATATTAAGTTAATTAATTCTTTTTCTTTGTGTTTTTCCTTTGTCGGTGTGAAATTGACTCCTGCGAGAATCTTCTTACAGCCTACAACCTTAAGTGTTTTTCTGGATCAACGAGTTAAGCTTTCAAGCTAAGCATTTAAAAAGCTGTCTTAGATCATCCCACTTGGTCTCCAAAGATCCATTTAAGGTTAAAAATATATTATTAGTAAACACAAGACACAAACCTGCAATATTTTGATCACCCAGACATCTCGCATCCACGTTGCCTTCAAGCTCTAGCTTCAAAATCTCAAAGGCAGTGTTTAATTTATGCAAATGCTTGTCTCCAAATGGATCCCGCACGTTCCGCGAACTTGCATCTTGTTGCTGTTTTATCAGAAGTTTTCTCCTTCTGACTAACGCGTTCAGGTTCTTCGGCCTCTGATTCTGTGAGTACTTGAGAGTTTGTAACGCGGTGTGTACATTCCTATGCCCTGGCAGTCGACAGATGTTTATCACGTCACCGCACTTTGTACAGGGGATTAAAATATTGGGCAACAAAATTGGTTCTTCGGACATTTCACTGGACAATTCTGTCAAGAAATCCAGCGTTTCAACATCGCTATTTTCGTGACCATCGTTTTCGCCTCCCTCGCCTCCTGCCGCTTCTCTCTCCTCGCCCTCGACGTCCTCTCCAATTAACTCCATTTCTTCATCACTGTTTGCGCGTTTACTGATTAAATTCACGGTCACTGCCGCGTGTTCCATCTCTGATTCTGCTGCCGCTTTTAATCCGTCGTTAACGCCCCTTCCCTTGCTTTCCTGAAGTTTTGTTTTTGTCTTCAAAGCCCTCTTTTGTGATCGCAACATCTTTGAGCGCTTCGCGGACGCCGCCACAGTTGTGCTTTTGAGTTTCGTTTCTTGCGGCCCTTCCCCCAAACTAAACCAGCGCAACACAAAGCGATTTGTTTGGGCCACTCCATGTTTTGCTCCATTGCAATCTGGAGTGCCAGCCATTTGTTTCGAGGCTAATTTAAGCCTGTATTGAACCCAAATATTAGAACAAAGGTGGCACAGGTTTTGTTCATTATTTGTTTCGCTAATTTAGCGTTAATTATCCTTGGCCTTTTAAAAAGGCTGTAGTCATAACAACGAATTCCCTCAGCGGTGTGCCTTACCGATTCTTCTTTTTGTCTCGGATTATCCAAGTGTTCACTGGACGGTATTTTTGTTTTATTTTGCCATTGATATTGTATCTGGCGCCTTGTTTTTTTTGTTTTTGTAAAAAAAGTCAGTCATTGAAAAATGAAAAAATAAAAGCGGTGAAATCTTAAAGGCCCAATATCCACATACAAATTCTCCAGACTTAGCCCATTTCCTTACTTAATCAGCTGGGAGAATTTGATAAAAGATCAAAGTATTTCATTGTCTTTCGATTCTCCGCAGGGACGGGGGAGAATAAAATGGAACAGCAAACCCCCTTCCCCCCAAATCAAGGATGAAGACGCGCGAAGCACAAAAACGTGCCATCTCCCAACTTTGTTTTCGGGAGGGGGAGGGGTTTAGGTTTTCCATTTATTTTGTCCAAGATTGTTGGTTGATGACACTCACAAAGGTTTACACTGGCGTGAAATGAAACCGTAGCACACGTGTAATCTCCTTATTTGCAACGTACAACCATTGAATAGATACTGAATTAGCCTTAGCTGTGTGAATAACGTGATTGACTAATTGTTTCAGTAAGCTCTTCAGGAATTATTAGTGGGATCTGTATCTCTCTTCGTTCTCCGAGATGCTACCCTATTTTACGGCTTTCGACCACTCGAATTACACCAGATGGGGCGTCATATTTCTTGCAGACATGAAGATGCTTCCGCAGACTGCTCCTGAGGTCCAGCAGGCATTTGAGAGTGGCGACTTTGTCGCAAAGGAGACAGCCAGCACCTTCAATCAAATTCCCGACGACCAAGCACTGGGGCATGTAAACAAATCTGGACAGGTAGCTGTAGGCCTTGTTTGAATTACAAGGACAGACTCGGCTCGAGATCGCTGATGTCTTACCTACAATGAGCGCGTCAAGCTGTCAGAAGACACCAAAGAGATGTTTAATGTCTTAGAAAGAGAATGCATTAGCGCCAAAGAGGCGAATGAAGCATGACCTATAACTTTGATAAGGTGGAAGTCACAGGGTGGTCTTGTGTAATATAAGATACTTTGCTTGTGGTTTATAAGCTTGTATTTCTAGCTTAAACCGCGCGGCCAAGTAGAAGAAAGTTCAGTCTTTTTACATGAAAAATCCTAACTCATGGGAAATGTTACATAGGTTGTAAACGCTATAGAATGACTGAAAATAAAAAAAATTTCATTACATCACGTGACCCATCATAGCTGATCACCTATTGCATTTTTGTGTTCTTATTGTTGGATGTGTAAATCGAAATGAGAAACGTCAGTAAGTTGAAAACTATATTAAAGGAAAGTGTGAATAGAGCGTCTTTTATGCTTTAAAATAGATTTTATTGGAAAGTCACGTGACTCTTCATAACTGATCACGTGACGCATTGTATCTCCCACACTACTGTCTATCGAGCTTTAAACGTCAAGTAGCAAAGATTCGGCTATTTCCCCATCGTATTGTGCACTTTTTATTGGGTTTAAATAAATGTTACAGTTCAGCCTCGTTTTCATGCTGCAGGAGCGAGGGCCTAGACAAAAAACCCGCTTAATGACAGATATCATAACATTTGGAGTGGGCAACAGCACAATTCTTAATCAGGATGGCAAGATGAAGATTTTAAGCCATGTTGCCTGCTTCTACTCAAAATGTTTAGCGAAAATCGTTTTTTGGCGAGCTGTCTCCTGACTAAAGGGAAAAAATTAACATCGTACAGGTACTAGGCAAGGTACTCCCTATAATGGCTATATGGGGAGGTTCTGCCTTTTTCAAACTTCAGGAATATAAAAGGGTAAGGTTTTCACTAGTTGAAGTATATGAAAGGGAAGGGAAATCTGTCATTGCAGTCTGTAAAAGGACCTAAAAGCGCTAACAGATGCATTTTATGGCTGTGAAAAAGAAAAGAAAACTTCCTGGTTTAGTGATTTATTCATATTTCAGAGACGATGCATTTACAGCAGTTAAAAGGGATGCAGCGTTTTAAACTACTATGTGAAAGGGGTACCATTTGTCAATAGAAGGCATACGAAAGGGGTGCCTCTTCCGTCAAAAATGGTAAACGGGATACATACGATTTGTGGCCTACTTGTCATCAATATTATTATTTTACTGAAAGTTGGTTAAAATTTTGTTACGTGTCAATGAGTTTAAACAATCTCTGCTGGTTTGAAACAAAGGACGAACAAACTTAAACCGAAGATTTTTTCTTAATTGACCCAAAGCAACCTCCAGGCCAAGCAGTGTTCTGTGTTGGCTTTTAATTCATGCCAGGTGCAGAGCATGCACATCAGTTTCACAGACGCAAGAGTGACCAACATCAATTTACTCTTAACAATATCCATATATAAACAGAGGAAAAGGTATGAGAATTAACAAAATGATCACTTAAGGAAATACGCTTTGACCTTTTAACAAATTCTCTTAAGAAGTATTTTAAGAAATGCATGGAGGCCAGTGTGGAGAATTTGTATGTTGATCTTGGGGCCTAAAGGATTTAGGAAAACGCCCTGTGGGGACGAGACTGCATTTTCTCCGCTAGAAGGGCGACACTTTTTAAAACTACACGTAGAGTTTGTTCCTGCCTTTCTTCAATTATTTTCAACACCTTTTATAACCTCTCTAAGACGAACGCTTACTGCCCAAAAGGTGTCCGTTTTTGAGAGAGATGACGAATTTACATTAAAATTGCGACAGCTCTGTGAAAGAGAGTGGAAGCCGAACGGTGAGTCGAACCCTCAGCAACTCGAATCGCGTGCTATGAACTCAACAGTAATCGGCTCCTGACTCAACCCAAAACTGATTTCCACCACATCTGCTCTAAATCGGTCAGTTCTGATGTTCTGATCGATCCCGAGGGTTCCCGAAGGGTATGGGGTATCTCGTTTCCAGTATCTCTCTGCCCATTCAATTCTTCAGTAGTCACGTGGTACATCATGGCCGAAAGCGCGGGAATTAGAACAGTTACGTAACGATACTGTCTCCTGTTTACATGTGATTCGATCAAACCAAACTTTTCAACATTTTTTCCTCCCTTCGATCGTCCTGTTTGATTCCTCGTCGTTTTTCGCAGCAGCTTTTAGATTTTAATAAGCTGAGATTTGTCTTCATGGCGTGCGAACCTCCCCCAAAACGATCGAAGAAAGAGGTCACTGAACATGGCGGCGACATATTGGAATCGTACATGGCGAAACGTAAAGAAGTTTGCAAATCGGTGACGGATTTTAAGTTCAATAAGAAAAGAGTCCGTCTCATTTCATCTGATGCTGATATCCCAGAGAATTGCAAGGGAATCGCTTACTGGATGTGGAGGGAACAACGAGTTCAAGGTTGGTTAAAGCATGCATGTTGTAGTCTGTGTAATTTAAGCTTATAGATGGTTTTCAAATTGCGAGGTTTTACGAATTCTTATTTTCACTAGGTTGAAGACAAGCAAAAAATAAATCTTTGTACAAGTTTTCATTCCAGTAGCATGTTTCATTTCGAAAATACAGCAATTTGAACTTCCGAGTTTTCACAGTGCGTGAAACCAAAATAGGAATGCTGTCTCGTTGAAAAAAAGTCTCTCCTTTTGATTTTCAGCATAACCATTTCCAGTATTAGAAGATATGTCTATGCGTACGTATGCTAGTTCTGGAGTGAAAAGAAAGAGCTTTTATAGAAAAAGTGAACTCCAGATGTTTTTGTTGATTTCCGGCGGCCATATTGGTGCACCAAAACGGTACACCAGTATGGCGTCTCCATACAAAGCTTTACAAAAGTGCGCGAAACGTGTAACTCAGAAACTGTGGGCCACAAAGACCTGAGACTTGAACAAATTGCTTATATATTAGTCTTTTATAACATTTCATTTTCTTGGCTTCTTCCACGTGACGGTTTCCAATTTATTTTTTTGTTGCGTGACAGTGAAAACGATCCGTATCTCTTTTATTAACGCTCGCTACAAACGTTTTGCCCTCACGTCAAAAATAAGTAATTTTGTTAAAAAACCGAAATAGATGCCATCATGTAAGAGTATTGCTGAAGAGGTTTTATCTGAATGGTCACAGCATGAGGTTTGATCGTTAGATTTTCGTTGGTTGTTTTTTTTACTACCAAAATTGGCAAAATTGAAACATGAACACTCAAAATTGGAAGAAAAGTGCAAGATTGTAAGAATTAAAAACTGTGACCAGTTGCACAAAACCTACCTTTAGACTTTGGCATGAAATTGCACCCAAGCCCAGTGGTAGCGGGGGGGGGGGGGGTTGTTACTTCATACATGTTGTAATAGGTTAATGGGGACGTGCTGCTGGATGGGGTCGCATTTTCATGACTTGACTGACCCTAATGGGATTGACTTTAATGGGATTGACTATAACAGGGTTGACTGTAATGGGATTGACTATGGAATTGACTTTAATGATTTTAATTGAGTTGTTAGAATTGGTTCCCACATTTTTGGGATTGTGGGATAAAAATATCTGCTAAGTAGGGATTTAAAAATGGGTAAATTTGCAGTAAAAAGTTGGCTTTATAAGGTAGATGTATAATTTACAGAAAGTGACTAAGCTGGGATTTCAAAAAATAATTACATTTCCCTAAAAGTGGCTAAGATGGGGTATATAATCGGCCACAGAATAGACTATAATGGGGTAGGAGTTCTTAGAGACCAGCGGCACATACCCAGGAAAATTTGACCCAGCATGCAAATTAACTAGCCCTTCCAACTCTTGAACTAAATTTGTCATTACAGCAAAGTGAAATTAGTAATGATTTACCTATTCCCTTACCATGTAAGCTCTCATCAACACTCAATATTCTTTACAATTTTTTTGGTTTAGATAACTGGGCACTGTTATATGCCCAGCGAATGGCTCTTAAACAAGAAGTTCCTCTCTTTGTATGCTTCTGTTTACCAAGCAAATTCCTCAATACCACCTACAGGCAGTACAGTTTTATGATCAAAGGTCTCCAAGAAGTTGAAAAGGTACAATATTATAAAATTGTTATGTGTTGTGCAGTTGAAATTTTTTTGATTTGAAAATTTTGAAGCCAGTTTCAGGGCTCAAAGAAAAATCGAATTCCATCATGTCCTTTGGGCAGGCAGTTCTCACATTTTACTTGTCCTGGGCCACTCCTTGCTCATCTTAGTTAATGATTTTGTTAGAGGAAAACTTGCCTGGCCCCTTAAACCTTTAAGCCCTAAGAGTGATCAGCATCAAATTTCTCCCTGTAATATCAATGATTTGTAAAACAGAATGGTCATGAGAATTACGGACGTGATCTCACAAGATGAATTTGCTTGATAGTTTATGAACCTCTCCCCACTACTTCTGTAGGAAATGAATAGGGGCAGCTAACAAGAATTCAAATTTTGATCTTCGGTTTTAAAGGGTTACCCCACTGGGCAACTTGCCCAGCGAGAAATCTACTCCTCCGAGACTACAGGATGATAATGTTTTCGTGCTCTGCAGTTGATTTGAGTTTTCACACATGTGATCTCCTGCTTTGGTGACCAGTGCCCTATAGAACTAACCCTACTGTGGTTATTTATTTCAGGAACTGACTACACTGAACATTAATTTCCATTTGCTTCTTGGTGAACCAGACAAAGTGCTTCCTGAGTTTGTGAAGTCACATAATCTTGGTGGATTAATAGCTGATTTTACACCACTGAGAAAACCATTAAAGTGGCTGAAAGATGTTACAGCAAAACTTCCAAAAAAATTTCCCTGTTTGTCAGGTCAGCAACTTGATGTCATTTTTGCTATTTTACTTTGTCTCATTTCAAGTATTCATTTTCTTGTGATTTACCTGTAGTGAATGAACAATGAAGAGGAAAGCAAGAGACGTTTCTAGCCTGACACAGACCATCTCTGTTCTGTTTCTTATTCAGTTAACTGACTTCACTTTGGTTTGAAGTATTCCCTTTAAATAACAATTGCATGCTTTTAATGGCAGGCAATTCTAATACATGTGACAGTGTACACGTATGGTAATAAATTATATAATATTTGTGGTTTCAGTGTGGTATCTGCTGCCAGGATGCACTGCAAACAATTGTACTTAAAGGATTTAAAGAGGCGGCATGAGTCAAAGAGATGTAACCAACTAAATTAACTAAATCATTTGTGATTCCATCTTTGTAGGTTGATGGTCACAACATTGTTCCATGTTGGCAAGCTTCTCCAAAGTTAGAGTATGGTGCGCGAACTATTAGACCTAAAATCCACAACCAGTTGAAAGGCTTTCTTACAGAATTTCCACCAGTAATTAAGCATCCTCATACTGCTTCAGACAAAACTAAAAAGGTGAATATTTTAATTAAATATCCTTTAATGAACTCTTTTGACTGGTGGATGGTTTTGCATCTCAGTTCTAGGCAGTTTTTCCAAACAGAAAACACTTCCGGAAAGTGATGGGCAGAATTTTGACACAGGGAAGCACTTGAAACTAAGGGTAAGGGGACCAAGAGAGAAGCCCTTCTTTGGGGAGACAAGATCGAGTGGTACAGGGAGTAGCCTTCCTGGTCAAAAGTCCTGATCAGTCTCTGGGGGGTGAGGCCCATATTCCCTTGTCACTAGGAACTAAAGGGAGCCAGGAGCGGGGGGCCATCCCGGGTGAGAAAAGATGAAAATTGTGGTACCAGGGATAGTCATGAGGGTCAAGAGTCCTGATCAGTCTCCAGGGTTGAGGCCCTCCTGATCAAGCCTGAATTTTTTAAGGTTCTTTTTCTACTGCTTTAGGTTGCTCATCCTACTGTAAAGGTCATGTTCACTTTCACAGTATAGCACCATATGTACCGAAGGACTCCCAGCTCTCTTGCCAGGAATTTTAGACATCAAAATATACCGTATTTATTCGACTATAAGCCGAGCGATTTTTACACAAATCAAAACTGAATTGAATTAAAATTTGGGCTCTAGAGGGGTCTCGGCTTATAGCCGAAAGTTTTTTGAAAAAAAATTTTTTCCCGGCGCATGGAAACTCTACTAAATCGAGATGTATTTACGTATAAGCCAAGCTAAAGTAAAGAAACACAATATGCAATCGTTGGTTCCGAAAATGTTAGGTTTTCCGTAGTTAACAATTCAGTCTTGTAATAATGAATGGGTCTCGCTTATAGCCGGGTGTTTTCGATTTATTTTTGGTTCTCGTTATGCCAAGTCTACACGTTCAAAGTTTGGGGTCTCGGCTTATAGCCAAGATCGGCTTATAGTCGAATAAATACGGTAATTTTTATAGTGTAAACTGTGATGATGTTCATTTTATGACACTATTATTAATATTTATTGTTTAATAAACCAGACTGACTGGAAAGCAGTTGATAAATTCATTGAAGTTGATCGTGATGTTAAGGAAGTGGACTGGGCTCAACCTGGGACCAAGGCAGGGCTGGAAATGTTGGAATCATTCTGCAATGAAAGACTGAAGTATTTTGCTGATGACAGAAACAATCCAACAAAGAAAGCTTTGAGCGACTTATCACCTTGGTTTCATGCAGGTATTGCTACTGTTTCATAGTGGTATTAGAGGATTTATCCTGTAAATCCAGTTAAAATCCCCCCTGACACCCCTGGATGGCAAGAATCCAACAACAAAAATGTTTACATGGTGTGTCACCTTGTTTTCATGCAGGTATTGCTATTTTTTTATATTAATATTAGGATTTATATCCTGCATTGTGGCAATAGCATATTCCAGGAAAAAGAAAACTCTCTTCCCCCACCCCATCTCAGGATGGCAAAGTTCTTTTTATCCCCTCTCTCCTGGCCACACCCTTTTTAGCGGCCAGGCACCAGTCAGTCCCTTCTGACAAATTGCGAGTAAAGTCAGTGTGGAGGGAAAAGCCTTAAGCGACTTTTGAAGGACTACTAAATTCTCCTTCCAACTAGGCCATTTTTGAGTTCCCCCGGGCCTCTGTATCAAAATGAGGTTAAGTGCTCAGCCTTTGATATAGAAATGCTTTTTCATTCTCATGCAAATAAAACTCATTGTCACAAGAAAGGTTGTGCACTTGGCCTCAATTTGAAAGTGAGGGTTTTTTGGAACTCAGAAGTGGTCTAGTGTGTTGCATTTGCTTGTGAAACGTAAGGAGAATTTAACATAACATTAAAAGTAACAATGCCTTGTTCCATGCGTCACTGTTAGAGTTATAGGACCAAGACTTACTCCTGTTTTGGACAAGGACAATGTCAGACTGTGTGACATAAGGAGTTGGGCTTTTTATCTTCTGCACCATAATTTGATACATTCATGATTTTTTAATTAATGGAATGTGTAGTTTGTTGATTTGAATTAATTGAAAACAAACAAACAAACAAACAAAAAACAAGCATTTCTTTTAACTTCTTAAAGATGCCATGTTGCTGTTCAGGCCAGGCCTGAAGTTTTAAAACAGCAGTAGCAAATGAAGATTCACCCGTAACATCTCTCAAAAATTTATAGTGCCACCATTAGCTTTCCACTTTGATCACCCGTGACATCAAGTGAGCTCAGCCGTAACAGGTGTTATGGGTTATGGCCCTTAATGACAGCTCTGCAGGCATTACTTCACAGTACAAGACCCACTCCACAGATGGGTGGGGCAGGAACTCTCCATGATAGCCTATTATGAGGAGGGTTTTCCTGAAAGGGGTACCTTTTTCAGCTTCCAACTTGTATTTTCATAGGTCAAATGAGTGTTCAAAGAGCCATTCTCCAAGTGCGAGAGTTCCGCAGCAGGGCTAAAGACTCTGTTGAAGCTTTTATTGAAGAGGCTGTGATAAGAAGAGAACTGGCAGACAACTTTTGCTTCTACAATCAGGAAAACTACGACTCCATTAGGGGTGCCTATGAGTGGGCGCAGAAAAAACTTTACAAGATCATGCACAGGACAAGAGGGAATATCTTTGCACGAGAGAACAGCTGGAACAAGGCAGTAGCCATGATGACCTGTGGAACGCTGCCCAGGTACAACTGCATTCACTTGTTGGTCAAAGGAGTCAACCCATGTCCAGTGGTAAAACAATGACAAACCAAATTGACCAAACACCTGGCTAAAATGTTGATTCCTGTTATTAATTAAGGCCGACATTTTTCTGAGAGCTTGAGGCTGATCCAACCATATGTTTGGCTTCCCAAAAAACCTCTCTTACACTCTTTATTAAAACAGTAATGAGGAATGTCTGAGGGTAGGCAACACCTGAGAGTATGTACCCCTGTCAGTGTCCCAACAGCATCAGTGCATTATCAAGAGAAAAGGTTACGAGAGTTAATAAAATGATCACTGAAGGAAAATGCTTTGATCTTTTATCAAATTCTTTCAACGAATCTGAAAGGAAATGTATGATGATCAGTCTGGAAAATAGGTGCCTTGGGGACCAATATAAGATTTGGGAAACTGTGGTACCCACCTACCCCTCCCTTACTGAAAAACATTTTGCCCCATGTGAGAAGCATAGGGAAGGGGTTTTAGCAGAACTACTTCTACTACCAGCCTACCTGCTAGCTGTCATGAATTTTATTTTTTTACTGTTTACATAAGGTTTTTGGTAAAGTCTCCTCCATTTTTCAGCTTCAGCTGGTCAATGAAGGCAAGATGCATGGTTTCCTGAGGATGTACTGGGCAAAGAAAATTCTAGAATGGACAAATTCTCCTGAAGAAGCTCTGGAAATCTCTCTATACCTGAATGACAAATATTCACTGGATGGCACTGACGCTAATGGCTATGTGGGTAAGCTTATAAAAGTATTATTTATTTATACATCCTTAATTCTACCTTTAGCTAGAGGAGCATACAGGTTGATGTACGTAAATCTTCATTGGACCCTGCTCTTATAATGAAGCAATATATGAAGAGAGGGCATCATTTAATGTACATTTTAACAACTTGACCAAAGATAGAAGAAGAATATAACTTGAGTAAGGGAAATAGAATGTGGTCCATGGAGCAAGTGCGTTCCCCCTGGAGAACACTTGTCAAATTCACAGCATGAATTGACAAAAAAAAATGCACTTTATTTGAGTGTCAATGGTTTTAGCCTTAGAGTATGTTAATGAGGACACTATTTTTATGTCTGTTACTGGAGATGGGACCACTGTGGCCATGCAAGCCATGCGAAGGTCTAGGTGTTTGAAGGGCAAAGGCGGTACCTTCATTTCTCAGCTTTTAAGACCCTGATTATTTATTGGTCCAGCCCCATGAATTGTACCCATGACCTCTTGCTCTGCACTCAAGCACTCTACCAACTGAGCTTATCTTGCTGCAGTGCGGAGCAAGTTCTAGGCAGATAAACCTCTCCTTTCTTAAGTGTAGTGCATCTCAAGACTCTTCAGGAAAAAAAAAGCTCTGCAAAAGTTTGTAAAATTTTATGGTACATGGAATTGCATTATTTTTATATCCCTCTTTTCGAGTGGTGTCATTTAGATTCAAGTCTTGAGTAGGGTGGTACCTACAGGTGCTTGTATTTGTTATACACAGAGGATCAGGGTCTTACAGCCTACTGCACCAACCCCTCCCATCCTTCCATAACACTGCAGTGCAAAGTTGATTGCTTTCTTCACATTATTGCAGGCTGCATGTGGTCTGTTTGTGGAGTACATGA